AATTAATTGCAAAGGCAACTTAGCTGTTGATGTGGTCAAATTTACTGTATGAGTTTTAGTCGTGTTGTGTCACAAACATCCAGTAAATCTATAGTAATAGCTACTCCTTGAACAAATGTTGTTAGTGTTGAGCAAACCGCGTGGTTAAAATGAATGGTAAAGGAATGAGGTTTAACGTCCTACTTCTTTGCACCAACTGGGCAAAGGAAAAACGGGCATACACCATTCAGTGTACCATTATATCGAATTCCAACTATACTTTGTCCTTGCTAGACCCTCCTTCCTGCGCCACTGACAAGGATGATGCACGGCGGAAAAAATCGAAGACCTTTCTTGGTTAACACTTGGATCGAACACCGGAATTCCAACTATACTTTTTCCTTGCTAGACCTCCGTCCTTCACCACCGACAAGTGTGAAGCACGGCGGAACAAAACACGAAGATCTTTCTTGGTTAACACTTGGATGGAACACGGGACCTCCAGGTTCGCGAGCCAACGTCTTAATACACCTTTGTTAGTATGTACCAAATCTTGACCTATGTCCTCGGTTAATAAGAATATCATTCTGCATACACCCACTTTATAGCTAATTCATACTCTAATGAAAATTTACATACCCGAAGCAGGCTATTATTTCAATTATTTGTTCAACTAAATTTGGGTATATATGCCCAACGATTAGGAATATCTGTACATGTTGATAAAGTTTATGAAGACTTAGATGTACAACACTTTCTGAGATAAAAATCACGGAAAAAGATGCGGGCAGCGGATAATCCGAGAATTTAATTAGGATTCGATATTTGTAATAAATAGTCAGCGATTACAGACAACATCGTCTTGTGTATGCAATGAATTCTCCTTCGACTTCGCCGCCGTTGCTATAGGTACGGAGAGAGGTAAGTCATGTGATACAAACATGACGTCTTTTGATCGATTTTTATAGCAGAATATTCCTTAGCAATTATAATGCTTTGAGAAAGATTTGAAGCAAAGTTATGATAAATTGATAAGTTTGAATATATTTTAAGTCCAAATATATCATCAAATCATCCACTTTGTACGCGGGAATGTATCTTTAAGGTAATTCACCTACTGTCGTTAGATAAATTTGCAGAATTCACCAATGTTTTCTATAACATTTTATAGAAGTACACAATCCAGTGATAAGTTGAGATTAATACTTATACTTACACATATAATAAGTTGATACTCCAACAATAGTAAATAATACTGAATTTGCAATTGCCAGTATTAGTACTATGATACACACACGTGAGCCTGCTACTAGAATTAAAATAAAAAACCCCACCTGTTTATCAATTAATTATAATGATAAATACATAAATAGTTGTACACAAACCAACTGCTATTCCTAATGTTGTTAAACAATTCTGAACTGTTATTGAAAGTTATTGAACTGTTATTGAAAGTTATTGAACTGTTATTGAACTGTTATTGAAAGTTATTGAAAACATTATAATAATCAGATCTATACTTATTGAAAACGGAAGAAGGGCCTGACAAGGACAGCTGTCTAGTCGTGCGGACTAAAAACCGAGCTCCCGTGTACACATTGGCGTGCACGTAAAAGATCCCGTGACGGTTGGAATTCGATATAAGAGTAGGCCGTAAAATTTCCCTCATAGCACACAGTCCAGAAAAAGGCCATAGGTTGGAAACATATTGTAATAAATGGGGTGATAAAGGGGGGGGACCATTTAACTTACTAATACATACATACTAATAGTAAGAAAGCAAGTAGACACTGCCAATTCTCTCAGACTAACTAAACAGTTAAAGTTTGTGATTAATGGGTTGTCCACTCTTATATATTCATCTGAAGTTTATGAAATGTCATTGTGCTTGATAACGATAAGAGGATACTTGTCGAAACGTCGTGCTTTTAGAATAAACCAGTGATTGTTTCCCATAAAAATTGTGTTCTATTAATATCTGACTGTCAGTTCGCTGCGCGTCTCTATTCGACTGGTATTTCATAATCTGATTAAAACACAGATCCTATTTCGTTCCGTTTTTTATAGTTCAAAATTTCGTTTTACTTGTCTTCACTACACTAGGATCCGGAAGAGTTGTTATATGACCCGCGTTCTAGGTGATGTGGGGGATTAGCCAATGAAACGGTATGTTACGGCGAATTCTTGGCGTGACATGCACGGAACTGTGGGTAAACCACTAGAAAGTCAAAGCTGATTGATTAATCAATGTCTGACGTCATATGCGCAAAAGCCGCTCATAAGACCTCTGACACGGCCTTCCAGTACAACTTGTCAGATCTTCACGTAGTGTAGCAAACTGCACGCAGCGATCCATCTACGTCATACTTTGAGAATAATGATCACTGCCCTAGTTAGTCTCCATTTAAAACGCTCGCGTGATCATTTTGGGGCCGGACTTATCGACTGGACTACAGCTTTGTGTACACAAAAGAGTAAAAATAACCCGATCAAGCACGTGTTTTATGTAAACACATGTCATAGGTAAAATGTCAACTTCTTCCACTCCGGTAAAAGCGATATATAATATGTGCTAGTGGGTAATATTGCAATACATTCTTTGTCATAGTAAACTGTCTTTAGAGTTTCAATCTGTTTATCTTTCAATACAAGGTTAGATATTCCTAAATTTGTCTTGGGGAAACAAAACTGTCTCTGTGAAATTATCTTTCATGGCAATCATGGGCGCCTTATATTGAATAATTAGAGGACTGTTTTGTGATTCGGCTCTGATTCATACACACAGCGGCTAAATAAACATATTTAATTTCATTCAATATGACAATAGAAGAGAAATAAATACTTCTAAAATTACTAAAAGCATACTCAGTGTTTTCGACTAAAATCGTCGATGTAGGAATTAAAATGTCGGTTAATTAGGTTAGGGCCTGTTCTCAGGCGGAGCTAGCTGTAGACATGCAGCCTAAGTTTGGGATGGTAGTGTAGGCCATCGAAAGTATAAAAGAAAAACGAAACGAAATATAGATCTGTCGTTTGCGTTAACAGTGATATCAGTGATGGGGAATCGTAGGTTGATTCAGATATTTTGTCGTATCGGGCTGGGATATTAAATAGATTAGACCATCTACGCCATAATATTGGTTAATATTAAAATGGGCAATCGAGACTTCGTTTACTATCACAGCAACGGTACTTGACATTCGAAGCTATTTAGACCAAATCTTGTCAAAATTTCAATCACTCATAACGTCGCCCAGAATAAAGTAATGCGGTCGATATTTGCAATATATTCATTTTTCATTATCTATTTTTGAAGTATAATAACAAAAACGGACAGCTCTTTCTCTGTGTCTTACATAATTGTCTTTATTAGAATCAGACGTAAATTACGTTGTACTGCACAGACACCTGTTATATTTCTTTGAAGTCAGTCTGATCAGAAGACAAGCATTTTGCCCGAAAAAATAGGCAGTAGTGAATTCGCAAAATTCGCTTTGTACTTTTTCGCATGCGTAAGAAATCAAAAGGTCTCTCTCACTGAGTCAAGTGTCATGGTTGAGATTCCTCACTTAAACGTGCCAAGGAGAAATGTCGCCTGTCCAACATCATGAGTTTTCTACGGGTCTTTCGATTTCCTACCAACTGCAAGCGAATTACTAAGATAAAATTGAACCATATGTTAGTGCCGAAATGACCTAGTTTATGTCGATTGGACGCTACCTCAGTCCCCTTCTCCGCTGAATGAACTATATGATTATAAAAAAATGAAGATCAGAATCTGCCAATCGCACTGGAACCACGTGAAATGTTATCCATTTGGGAGGGTGCGTAAAAATTCGACATTCCGTGTACACATTGGCCAACACGTAAAAGAAACCTTGGCAGTATGAATTCTATACAAAAGTAGACCATGGGGCTCCTGTCCGGGCAAAATTTCCCTCATAGCACACTGTATGGCGTATGTCCGTCTTCATGAGCCCTTAGCCCACTCGGAGCAGAACAGTAGGACGTTAAACCCCATTTGATTTCCGCTGACCCGCCCTCCTCTTCAATTAGCCCATTGAAAGGAGTGTGTGACGATTCACTTAGTTCTTGAAAAATGTGAAAGTGAGTTTTGTTTGTAAACCCGATACACCTGACTGAGTTACCCAATATTAAAGGTAGGCCTACATGTCAATCACATTGCGCGTATACCCTGTCCCCCTTTTAAGACACCTGTATATGTTTGAATACAGACCACTCCATGTGTATGTACAATAGTCATTCATATACCGGTATGTATAATTATATTAATTCAATAATAAATGACCTATATTTTATTAATCTCTTTTATCATATCCATTTCTAGATAAACCAACGTATCATAACTACCGTTCTTCAAAGGACAATCCGCCCAGTTTTTACTATATGTATGTTTCCGATCTCTGGGTAGTTAGGATGTGAAGACAAGCTTCTGCCCCTCCTACTCATGCATTACACATGTAACAATAGAAACTAAATTACCCTGTGTTAGTCTCAAAATAACAGACTTTACGTGATTCTATTCTACTGATACCACGTGACGGACTGTCTACTGAAACCACGTGATCGAAAAGATTGTTTTCAGATAAATTCCATGCCGTTCTGTAACAGACTAACGAATTTTTAAATCGATTCTGAATGGGGTTATGTCAAGTGCTGTCCAAGGCCAACAAAATGAAATGAAATGGGGTTTGGCGTCCTACGGTTCTGCTCCGACTGGGTTAATGAAGACGGGCATGCGTCATGCCGTGTGGTATAAGGGACATTTTGCCCGGACAGCGGCGCTACGGCCTACCCTTATACTGAATTCCAACTGTCAAGGGTTCTTTTACGTGCACGCCCCGACCAAACGAGCCAGCGCCTTGCTTACCGAGCCACCGCGGCTCTCGGTTAGCGAATACGGGTTAGGATTCTGTAAACCTGTTTGATAAATATAGATCGTACCTCGGTGACATTTCCCTTATGTAAAACAGCACGTGTTGAAATAACAGATTTAGTTTCACGTCGTGTCGAGTGAGACGGTTGACCAGCGCGGACATAGAAACTTCTACACAGTGACCTCAACCCATGGTCTAATATAGTGTGGTTTGTTTCGCAGTGGTCCGTGTTAAACTGACTAAAGGAAAAAGGTAGGTAGTTTCTATAGTATACTCTATATTTGTGAATGAGTTTTCTTACAACACGGAAGTAATGAAATGAAATAGGGTTTAACGTTATACTCTTCTGCTCCGACTGGGCTAGTGAAGACGGGCATACGTCATACAGTGACGGAAGCTCCGACTGGGCTAGTGAAGACGGACATACGTCATACAGTGACGGAAATTCTGCCCGGACAACAGCACTATGGCCAACTGGCAAGGGATTTTTACGTGTACGCCAATGTGTACACCAGACCTCGGTTTTTGTCCTATCCGAACGACTAGACAGCTGTCCTTATCAGGCGACGGAACTAATACAAACAGGTATGACAAACAGCTGATTCAAAGTTACTTGTATATACTTTCGAAAGTATGTTTTTACCCTGGGGGTTGGATGCCCGAATGGTTATCACGTGCCCGCTGTACCATGAGGTCTGTCATTGAGTCAACTGCGTGATTTCGATTCCCCGGTTGTACGTGACAAGGAGTAAGGTCCCCTGTCCAACCTCGTGGGTTTTCTCCGGGTCCTCCGGTTTCCTCTCACTGCTAAAGACCCCCTACGCGCAAGCGAATTATTGAAATAGGGTTGAACCATGTGTTAGTCCCGAAATAACCTAGTTTGTGTCGAGTGGACGTTAAACCCCATTTCTCTGTCTCTCTCATGTCTCTACCCCATGTGAACGAGTTTGTGTGGTCGAGTGATCTAGGACGTGCGCTTTAGATCATGAGAGCTGTCATTGAGTCAAGTAATGTTATTTCGATAAGGTAGCATCTCCTGTCCAACTCCGTGGATTTTCTCCGACCATTCGGTTTCCCCCCACCCCTAATAAAGACCCCTACGCGAAAGCCAATTGTTGAAATGAAATTGAAGCATATGTTAGTCCCGGAATGACCTAGTTTAAGTCGAGTCGACGTTAAACCCAATACACCCTCCCCGCTCTATCTCTTTCCACCAGGGTAAAAGGCGTGACAAACAGCTGATTCAAAACAGCGTACGTATCTACATATTCATTGGCATTGTAAAGTTACAATTGTCCAGAGCGACGTTTGATTTTCATTTTTCTTATTGTGGGTATTCTAACACTCTGAATGACACCCCGTCCGAGCTGAGACCGCGGTCGAACTGCACTGGCCTTGGTACTGGGATCTCAAAAGTTGTGTGGTAAGGTTCCAAGATTCGCATTATAATGTTCTGTGGGGTTAAAGTCAAAACCCATACCTAGAATTAAAATTTTCGGGAAACACCACTGGGCAGCCATTTCACCACCATTGCAACGATGATGGAAATATTATGTTGATGAGAAGCTTAACCTGGTTCCAATTCGATGATCGTCTTCCATTCTATCCACCTTTCATTGATAATGTCTTTTCTCTTATTCAGGACAATCCTGAGGATGGAAAATCTTGTGGTAATCTGTTGGCTGTTCGTGGTGGTCACGGCCTTCGATCTCAATAACCCGAAAACCAACCTTGACAGTGTCACCAGAACAACGGGATCATTGGATCCTAGGGTTAGCACAGTGAACTATATCAATGGAACCATTTTAATCCGATTCGAAGACTCGGGGTTACAGAAAGTCTTCTTGTTAGAAGGATTCAACATCGCAAGAAAGGTTCCCAAATCGTTCGGTTATCTGTCCCTGTCCAGGGAATTTCTAGTCTACAGGAATTATAAAACGGGGGAAATATTGGATGTTTTCGAGAATCATGCTACACAGACAGTAAATGAAGTTTTTGATATTCATAACGACCCCGTGAACGCCAATTTTACTTATGGACCGATCACTCCATTTGTCGTGTTGGAGAACGATCGGGTTGCTTTTAATGACGATATCTTGCTTCAGTACCCAAACGTGTTGGATCCCAAACACTATCCTCGATTTACAGCAGGTCCGACCTATGAGGCTGATGAATTATTTCAGTTTTATACCCGATACAGTACCCTGGCCGACACACAGATTAATGATCTTAACTACACTAGCACCTGGGGAAGAAGATCTCAATTCCTTCCCTGGTTGGAGTTTGGTCCTCAACCGGGACATATGTACTACATATCAACCAACTGGAAGTGTTTGAATGGTCTAGCTGACGTTCCAGATGATATAATGGCGATAGTAAAAAGCAAATACCCGCAATTTATGGACGCACCAAGATCCTACGACGTTCCCAACCAAACTTCGTGGTCTAATTTTAAAGCTGTTATTGACCAGAGACGCAAAGATGGACAACCGGATATTATCATACCGGATGTTAAAATCGTCCCAAACCTACGAACCAAAACGGAACATCTTGATCCAAGACTCTACGAAAGCTTGGCAAAACTTGATTCCTTTCAGGTGGTGTTTACTGGTCGTGTGTATTCTGAAATACCAGGTCAGTATTCCAAGAACGTGTTCAAAGTAAAGGGCGTTCTGACATGCAAGGTCGGACTGACGCCAGGTGGACCGCAGCTTCTGGTCAATGTTACAGGATCTTACATGGATCCTAAAACCGAGAAAGTCTTGAAAATGTGGAAGAATCCTTTCACGAATCAAACTAATTATGTTCCGCCTCTACAAGGGGTGTATCAGAAGACACTAATGCTTGGAGATGATTCGGTGTGGTCTCTGCCGGTACCTAATCTGGGAGAAACAGCCTTGGTCGGTTACGATTCCTTCTCATACTATGACAACGCAACTGGAACCGAGCAGTGGGCGGTTAACCTGGTCGATGTGTTCTTTCCGGACGAGAATCTGGAATCGAATGATCCGTATTTCTATGGAACGTGGATGAAGTTTAGTTCGTGGTTGGGATGGATGAACATGGATGGTCTAGAAGGCAATCTGGTGTGGAGGATGAACGTAGAATTAAAAAGACCTCAATTATTGAAAAGTCATCTGGTAGGAAGGGAAGATACCAAAAGAGACTTATTGTAGTTGTTCTGTTAATGTAATAAATATATTTGGCTTATAACTTTCCAATTTCCTGGGGTTTTTTGGTTGTTTTTTTTTAAAATTGCACACAACCTTAGTGTACAAAACGATTTGGTCAAAGATTGAGATGTAAACAGGGGTAGTCCTAACCCAAACCCATAAACTCGTCAACAAGAACGTGCCCTAACCTTATTTACATCTCAGCGACCATGACGAAATAATTTGGAGTTGACCTTATGAAATAGATTTAGTCCTTAAAGAGATTGCTCTGAAAAGTTAATAGACGATTCCTATTGACAAATATTTTTAAATAACGCAAAAGTAAAGAAGTTGAAAACCCGACCTCGTTTTCAAAAGGGAGATAATCGGATTTTTTTTTATGACATTTCTGGCTTAATCCAATCATTGTAACGGATTTTGAAAGTTTCAAGTCGAAAACTTCAACAATAAAAAAGTTATACTCCGAATTTTCACCGTTTTCAATCTTAAGCTTAAAATTAGGCCATACGCATGCGTGAGATAAAACATGTGAATTACAAACACCATGAGACTTATAATATATTATAAGGTCCATGCAAACACCTACCAATTGGTGAAAACCGCATATAATATGACCGAGAAATCAAAGTTTCCTTTGATGTCTAATATTGGTCTATCTTTGCCCATGACGTCACTTCCTGATATCTTTTTTTAAAGTTTTAAACTAAATACCTTTCAGATAGTATAGAGTTCAATTCTGTAGAATATATTCGTTTTCCTAATCTTTATAAAAACATTTGGTAGATTTATTAGAACAGAAGTTTGGGTAGAGCCGTGTCTATTTGTCCGAATACTTTTATTGTAATAATAAGGTTGTGTTTATCGCGTATATGCTGGAATTATGATTGGATCATTTTGGAACTTGGAATATTTATCCCTACCACAAGGACGGCAACTGTTGATTTTAGAGCATGCCCCGACCCCCAGCAACACCCAAATTTTGTGTTTATCGCCTACAGACGGCAATTCTGAATGGATCATCATGGAACTTGACATATATGGATGGCAACTATTGATTTTAATGCACAAAGAAATCCCTTGTCATATTACAGTCATTGCAACCATTTCATACTTTTCAAAGTAGTATATAAATCACTGCTTATTACTGAGCGACGTTTCGACTAGGCTTCTCTTGTCATTATCAGGGGGGTTGGATGGCCGAATGGTTAGCACGCACGCGCTGTATCATACGGTCTGTCATTGAGTCAACTGACGGGGTTTCAGTTCCCCGGTTGTACGTAACAAGGAGTAGGGTCGCCTGTCCAACCTCTTGGGTTTTCTCCAAGTCCTCCGGTTTCCTCCCACTGCTAAAGACCCCTACGCGCAAGCGAATGATTAGTCCCGAAATGACCTAGTTTGTGTCGAGTGGACGTTAAACCCCATTTCTCTCTCTCTCTCTCTCGTCATTATCAAGCAGTAAAAAGCAGTAATTGTATCCCATAGAATTGTGACTTGTATACTCTAGTTCAATTACTAAATGCCATTCAAACAATTTAGTATATCAATCAAAGCAAGATGTATCATTGATCTTGTTTACAAGAGTTTGGACTTTCGATTGAAAATTAATTACTGGTACACCTATAAACTCCATGTGAAGTCATCAGTACTGCAGGGTGCAGGGAGAGAGAGAGGGAAATGGGGTTTAACGTCCACTCGACACAAACTAGGTCATTTCGGGACTAACACATGGTTCAATTATATTTCAATAATTTGCTTGCGCGTAGGGGTCTTTAGCAGTGGGAGGAAACCGGAGGACCTGGAGAAAACCCACGAACTTAGACAGGCGACCCTACTTCTTGTCACGTACAACCAGGGATTTGAAATCACGCTAGTTGGATCAATGACAGACCTTATGATACAACGCGCACATGCTAACCAATCGGCCATCCACCCCCCAACCCCCCAGGGTGCAGGGACAGATGGAAAACAAAACACAAATATATAAAATCTAACAGTTTTAATTTCTTCTCCAATGATAAAACAGAAAGTAAACAGAGTTGTTGATAAACAGACGAACAGGGCCTGGATAAAGGGGCTGACTGGGCTTTCTATATCAAACATATAATTTGATTTATTATGTTAAATATGTTTGTGCCATACTATCTACCATACTGACATTAAACATGCATTATGCAAGAACTAAATCTGCTTATTGAAATGTTATCTAAATTATTAATTAGACATTAATTAACTTATGCAGGCCATAATCAACTCTCGATGTCATCGCTAGCCTGCAATATTTACTGGATTAGGATCCGATTGGCTGCTCAACTTTCATTCATGATTAAATCATGAAATGGATAACTTAGACTATGTTTTTTATCTACCAACTTTAGTAATGATAATCGAGGCTAGGCCGAAAATTCAATCTTTAAATTCTCGGTTCAGAGTAGATCAATTTGACTAAAATTTTCAGCAAATACCCTTTACATTATCTAGTTTTTAACTATTATAGTGAGAACTGCCAGCTCTGTATCTAATCTCTATCATAAAGTATCTTCAAAATTAAATTTGTGTAAGTGTGACAGACAAGGACTAGAATATGCAAATCTTTCACTAGTGATGCAAGGGCACAAGTGACATTTTCAGCCAGGAGGTTCATGCATGCCTTATCTGGGACCCTGTCAATGACATAATAACAAAAAAATTATATTTTCCATGCCTATACATAATATTTATTTCTAAAAATATTGGTTGCCAAGCAACGAAACATATCTCACCCACTTAGTTTTCTGAACAGCCCATAAATATTGCTTAAAAGATATTTCAACTGACCAAGGGCCATAACTCCAACAGTAATTATCAAAAATCGCTGAAGATTTATAGGTTTCTTTGTCTTAGCATAAACACTGACATAAAGTTAAAATCAATAATAACTTTAGCCTCTCGAGTATCAAAAGACTTTAAAAAAAAATAATCAAGGGGCATAACTCTGACAGCAATGGAAGAAAATAGGAGTACCCAGAAAAAACTCATGATGTCGAACTCCTTGTTACAGACTCCAAGACCTTATGATCCAATTGGCCACTCTATTCCCTGTATTATAAACAAGGGCTGCACAGTAATTCCTACCTTATCTTATATTGAAGTCCTTGTTGTAGGGAACGAGATCATAAACTTTCATGCGAACACTTGTTCAATTTACACAATGGTTACACCATTCACACGTCTAGAATATTTAAGTATGTGGATTTCCTAGCTCAAGTCAATAAACTGAATGTTATTTCTATTCAATCTTACTTTCAATTTATTGCCTCCATTTGAGAATCAAAACTTGAAATGTAGAGACAACATTTTTCGATGCCAAGAGAAAGAATTTTAGCGTGGAGACAAATACCTGTAGGCAATTTAACTTACAAAAATTACAATGAGAGGAATTTACGTAATTCAGTGGTTCTGTTTATATGCTTGATAAGACTTGATAACAAATTGTTGAAACCTCACAGTGTAATAAACCATAGTAATTATTTTTCATAAATAGTTTTCTTTGATTATGTTCCAATTACTAAATGTCATAAAGAGAATAAAACTAATGGTTACATATCCAAATTTAGCAAATAGTAGGTTACGCAATACAATAAATTGTAATTTTACCATTGTATATTATGATGACATGCACCCATTGAATAAGTCAATCATTTACACCTTTAACAGTTATACAATACTCTACCTTAAAATATAGTAGGGCCTACATATAACTGTTAGATGACACTCTATCTTGAAATATAGTAGGACCTACATGCATGTAACAGTTATATACCACTCTACCTTGAAATATAGTAGGACTTACATGTAATAACAGTTATACGACACTCTCCTCGAAATATAAAAGGGTCTACTTGTAATAACTATACCGATAATACTATAACTAAACCTGAGAAACGTGTGAGGTAACTATGATTCAACTTCAAAAATAAATCGTCGTAACTTCCCCTTTTTACACTGACAAGATGGCCATTATACACGTACATCTGTGTTGTCGAAGGAAATAGAACTTTAATAATGTCCTCAATTTCCCGTACTTTCACTATAAATAACTGGCATATCAAGACAAGCGTTAGAGACACTAACAACAGATAAAGTTTGTAACACTGTTCCTGATTGGTCTTCATATACCAAAGACTGATTGGACGTTAGTTCTGTGTACTCGGGGTTATTTGGCACCGACTGATTCATCGGCACATTTTCACCAGCATGTTCAACATTTATAAAAACAGGTCGCGTATTTTCCTGATCTTCTGATTGATGGATATCCGCTATTGATATTGTTTTTAACTGGTCACTTGATTGGCTATTCTGCAACGCAACTTGACCCAAAAGGTCAAGGTTATAATGTTCCTGATTTAGATTGTCTGATTCGTCAGTTTCTCTCTCCAATGCAACCTGGGATGTTTCCGTTTCCATAGCAACGTCAGCTTCCTGGTTACCCGCTGACTCAATGGGTGCTGCATGGTCCGTATTCTCCTCTATATTCGAGTCGTTAAGATACTGGTCTGTGACTTCGATACTCTCGTAACGCACAGTTTGTAGTCGCCAATATCCATCATCATGCAGCTTATACCTATAAAATAATAATACCACCATCTTTATATAGAAACGATATTTTTCTGCACTAAACTTTCCGATACTAAGGCATATGGCATATATACATATATTTTCACTTTTTATTTTTTCAAGTCTGGTTCTACACGGCTGACAGGTAATAAAATGAAATGGTGTCCAACTTTACTACTCCGACTGGGCTAATAAAGAGAGGCATATGCCATAAAGTGTGCAACAAGGGGAATTTTTCCCGGACAGCGCCGTTACCCTCTACCCTTTCCAGTTCCAAAAATTCTTTTATGTGCATAGTCTCAGTTTTTTGTCCCATCTGACCAACTAGACATTGTCTTTGCTGGACTCCCCCCAACTGGCGAGAGGTAACCATGCCCCAAAATCCTGATGAACTATCTCAGGTATCAGCAGGATCGAACACGGTACTCACTGAGCCACCCTGGCTCCCAACTGATGAACTATCTTGGCCAAACCAGGGAGGGGACCCGACACCTCCTGGTAAATGAAATGAAATGTGTGTAACGTCCTACTGTTCTGCTCCGAACTGGGCTAATGAAGACTGGTATATGCCATACAGTGTGCTATGAGGGAAATTTTGCCTGGACAGCTGCACTCAGCCTACTCTTATATCGAATTCCAACTGCCAAGTGATCTTTAACGTGCACTCCAATGTGTACACAGGAACTCGTTTTTTTTTTTGTCCAATCCTAACCACTAGACAATTGTTTTTGTCAGGCCCTCCGTCCTGCATCACTGACATGAGGAAACCATGCCCGAAAATCTTGATGAATTTTTGCAGTCAACATTGGGAGCAAACATGCGCCTCCAGGTTAGCGATCCAGTCTGGTTTATTACTGATCAACTGCAGTCCACTAACAGGTAATGTGTACCTTAATTTTTAAATAGGACAGAACACTGAGGTCTATATGCAACATCTAAAGTTATTTTAAATATAGTATTATACAATATTTTATGAATATATCAAAGCCAAATTGCTACTGAGATATTTAAACATGGACTAACCTGAATCTTGAATGACCTGATGGCCATTTAAACTTGTGTTTGGTTTTAAGATGTTTTGTTAAAATAGTTCCACGACTAAACTTCCTCTCACATACATGGCAAGCGTACTTGTGGCGGCTTGACTTAGAATTCTGAAAATAATATAGACAAACAATAACAACCAGCTAATTGATTTAATCATATTATTCTTTCTACATAAACTACTTATCTTTGATTTTTATCGGTTTTGTTTGCATGTAGATCCTTCTGCACCTTCTGCATTTACTAATTGCATATAACTTAAATTAAAATATGTGAAGAATTCAGGCTTTTCATTGCACTGTAACCCAGGTATCATTTAATCTTGTATATCTAGCACTAATTTCTTTCACATTTCATTTATCAAATCTTTGTTTAAAAATTAGTAAAAAATCATTTAAATTCACCCAAAATCATCAAATTGGACCTGTGTACTTATATTTTTATTCACCTCAAAACCATAAAAATATATTTAAAATGAATTTTGGACAGATAAATAAGACCTAGTCAAACATTGAAACTGGAGATTAGCCAAGAAGTTAAAGAGAGTTGTCTCCCTTCAATTTTTAGTAATTTTTCAGATATAACAGTATGTATGAGCTGCCTTATAAAATGAAATGAGATGAGGTTTAACGTCCTACTGTTTTGCTCCTATACCGGGCTAATGAAGACGAGCATACGCCATGCAGTGTGCTATGAGGGAAATTTTGCCCGGACATCAGCACTACGGCCTACTCGTATATTGAATTCCATGTGCACGCCAATGTGTACACGGGACCTTGGTTTTTCATCCCATCTGAACGACTAGACAGCTGTTCTTGTCAGGCCATCCGTCCTGCATCACTGACAAGGGGAAACCTGGATGAACTTTGTCAGCCAATGCAGGGATAGAACACCCGAATTCCAGGCTAGCGAGCCAGCATCTTACCCACTTAGCTGCCTTATATACAATAACTATAGTGATAGGAACTATATATGCTGGCAGTTGTTTCTACAAATGGTCATATCACAGGAATTTATTACTACCTGATGCACTTTAAGGTGATGAGAAGCTAAGGCGGGATAGGTTCGAGCATCAAAATTACAATCCTCTTCCTGACATCGGAACAAAGCCGTCTCGTTGTGACTATCTAAATGTCGACGTAAATCAGCAGCACTTTTAGCACTGGAATAAAAATTCATAGTTCTATATTTATCTGGACAACAAAAAAATGTGGAGGAACTCGATCAGCATATATTTACTTGAATCAATCGACAGAGATAATAACAGGTCATATCAGAACTGGTATATATATCTTGACGTTCATACAAGGGTCTAGAGTTGGAAATTAGATAAGCCGAATATGAAAACCAAAACAGTGGCACCTATGACAGACATTATGATCTAAAGTCACCCAACGCACATTCCTCGATATCCCAAGTGGTCTCATTCCACTCCACTCCACTAACCCCTGGGTTAATCTATGGGAGAAGAGAGAGAGAGAGTTTAACATCCACTCGACACAAACTATGTCATTTTGGGACTAACATATGGTTCAATTTTATTTCAATAATTCGCTTGCGCATAGGGGTCTTTAGCAGTGGGGGGAAACCGGAGGATCCGGAGAAAACCCACGAGGTTGTAAAGGCGACCGTACAAAAACCTGCCAGTTGATTCCATGACAGACCTTATGATACAGCCCACACGTGCTAACCGTTCGCCCACCCCATGGGGGAAGACACGTATATAACACACATGGGTTTCTATACCAGTCTCAGAAAAAATATAACTAGATAATGTACTGGAACAAATCAGATGTCAGCTACACCCTGACTAGAACTGTAGTCTAATTATAGATTGTCCACTTATATATTACCTGAGGTTAAAGATGCATTATGTAAGAATTTGATAAAGAGCTAACCATTCTTGCTATAATAGTTCGAAAATAGATAATTTAAAATGAATAATTTGAAAATTTCAAATTACTTTATTCTTAGCGAAGTTATCACCGATTGATTTTTTGACAAGATATCGCATAGATGGTTTATTATCATAGCAATGGTACTTGACAACTGAGACTTAGTCTTGATTATCTATTTCATTTGTTAAAATTTTTAAAATCTAGCTGGTGTTCAAATCCAATGATCTAGAGAGTTGATTATAGGCTTATCATGTGAATAAATATCTAATTAATAATTAACGTAGCATTTGAAGCCAAAAGAAAGACTTGCAATAGGCAGATTTAGCTCTTACACATAATGCATCTTTTAGAAAACACTCTTTTGGAAAAGGGCATGCATGGTAAATGGTTTTTTTTCCATGAAAAAATATTTTGACAGAAAAAAATGATAGAGAAAGATAATACGATACCTAGAGAAAAATAATACGATACCTATGATAGAGAAAGATAATACGATACCTATGATAGAGAAAGATAATACGATACTACGATACCTAGAGAAAGATAATACGATACCTATGTGAACAATGACCACATTTGAAGGGTTTTTCTTGGGTGTGACGATATCGGATGTGGGATCTTAAACCAGAAGGAGCTGGACAGGTCATATCACAAAATGGACATTTATAATGGTTTACTGAAATAAAATCATAATACATATAAAATCGTAATACAGTTAAGGTACAAATATTATCCCAATATCTTAGGCAAATTTTGAAGAAAGAGAGAAAAATAGGATTTATGGTCCAATCGCCAAAATCTAGGTTATTTTGGGACAAACCTATGGTTCAACTTTATTTCAATAATTTGCTTTCGTGTAGGTGTCTCTAGCAGCGGGAGGGAACCGAAGGACTCTTAGAACCACTCTTTAGACTAACAAGACCACGCCACTTGACCTAATGTCAGACCTTTAAAGCACACATGTTAAACCATTCAGCCACCCCCGCTACCCCCATTTTGATATAAGAGCCTATACATCACTTTATACCTTTGACCAGAGTCACAAACATCTAGATCAAGAATCTGGCCAACTCCATTGGATAATAAAATGGCTTGTTTGTCTATTGTTTTGGCTATATGCAATTTTAGACTCCTACATTTGACCCACTTCAGTCAATGTTTTGAGTTGGATTTTTTTTTGGCGGGGGGGAGGGCAGGGAGTATAGGCGTGCATGAAAATCGGTACACTGTTGAATTTAGAATTAACTTGTCCCATCTGTTGAATGAACAAGGTGAATAATTGTTCACATCTGCTCATTAATATATCAGGCCTTGTATTAAAACTTACCATGATGTCGCATATGATCTCGAAGTATTCTGGCCGTAGCAAATCTTTTATTACAATGACTACACTGATATAACTGTTCTAAAAATATACAAAAAATACCAATAAAACAGTTTATTAGATATATCCATAAAATGTTAAAAAAAACCCAGTTTATTAGATATATCCATTAAGTATGAATAAAACTGCTTAATACATTCTATAAAATATCAATTGAACAGTTTATTGGACATATTCAGAAAATATGAATAAAACAGCTTATTGGGGACATATTCATAAAGTATAAATAAGATAGTTTATTAGATATACCTATTAAATATCAATTAAACAGTTTATTAGATATACCTATTAAATATCAATTAAACAGTTTATTAGATATACCTATTAAACATCAATTAAACAGTTTATTAGATATACCTATTAAACATCAATTAAACAGTTTATTAGATATACCTATTAATATCAATTAAACAGTTTATTAGATATACCTATTAATATCAATTAAACAGTTTATTAGATATACCTATTAAATATCAATTAAACAGTTTATTAGATATATCTATTAAATATCAATTAAAGATGGGTTCCCGCGTACAAACTGGGTGATTTAATGGTATATATGGACTAAAAACATATCCAAACTAATCAATTTGTCAGAACTTTGCTTCAAATCCTTCTCAAACATTGTAATTGCGAAGGAATGTCCTGCTATAAAAATTCGATCAAACCAGGTCATGTTTACATAAGATATATCTTTAATCACTTACTATTTATTACAAATATCGAATCCAAATTAAATTCTCAGATTATCCACTACCCGCGTCTTTTTCCATCATTTTTATCTCAGAAAGTGTTGTACGTCTAACTCTTCATAAAGTTTATCAATGTGTACATCAAGTGCGCAATGTTCGTGGGTGACCTTTGACATCACGCGTGCAGAAATTCCTAATCGTTGGGGATCTCTTACATTTTTGTCCTCTATACGCTCCATGAGTGTTTTTCGGGGAATCCAGTATTTTTCTAGTAAGTTTGGATATCTCTACTTTCCATATATACCAAAATTACCATACTTTTATTGGAAATAACCACCCGATAAATACTATTCTGGGAACCCATCTTTAAACAGTTTATTAGATATATCTATTAAATACCAATTAAACAGTTTAACTTTTAAAGCTATGTCCATAAAACTGTGGATTTCATGCAATAAGGGAAACCTAATATATTTTAGTTTGTCCAATCAGTACAGATTATAGTGCAGGACATTTTGTTAGGTACGACCAATAACATTATCATTAGCCCTGGCCTTCTGGCCCCTCGTGACTTTATTAATGTAACTGAAAGTACTAGGATATGTTTACAGAGATTATCCCAGTAAGTAGGACATTTCCATATCTCCCAGCAACAAATCACAGGGTACTTGTGTCGGTTACAATCTATCATATTGTAAATCAATCGTATCTGTGTAATCAAAGAAACTGATACTGTCTTGTCGAGTTTGTTTTGCGTAGATCTCTTGCATGTACTACTTCATTATTTCAATAGAGAGAAAAGGGGTTTAACATCCACTTGACATAAACTAGGTCATTTTGAGACTAACACATGGTTCAATTTTATTTCAATAATTCGCTTGAGCGTAGGGTTCTTAAGCAGTGGGAGGAAACCGGAGGATCGGGAAATAACCCACACGGTTGTACTGGCAACACAAGCTAGGTCATTTCGGGACTAGCTTGGGATTCAATTTTATTTCAATAATTTGCTTGTGTATAGGGGTCTTTGAGGAAACCAGAGGACCTGGTGAAAACCCACAAGGTTGGACCTGGTGAAAACACTACTCCTTGTCATATACAAGCAGGGAATCGAAACAGACCTTGACTCCATAACAGACCTTATGTTCTAACGCACATGCATTGAACCATTTGGCCACACAACCACCCTGACTGGTGTTCCTCCGAAAAACAAAGCCTTAGTACAAACAAAACTGTGAATGAAATGAAATAGGGTTTAACGTCCTGGGCTAGTGAAGATGGGCATAGGCCATAGAGTGTGGTATGAGGAAAATTTTGCTCGGACAGCAGCACTACGGCCTACTCTTATATCGAATTCTAACTGTCAAGGGATTTTTTAAGTGCACGCCAATGTGTACACGGGACCTTGTTTTTTTCGTCCCAATCCAATGACTAAACAGCTGTCCTTGTCAAGCCCTCCATCCTGCATCACTGACAAGGGGGAACAGAACTGTGAATGATAAACCCTTTCAAATTAAAATCAGAGTAATGGTTCACATACATATATCTCTAAGGTCAAAAATGTTTTCTAATGGGATGACTTATTATTATGTAACACTGTAACTTGGGTATCATTTAATCTTATGTATTTATTCCTAAATTTTATTACATTCACATAATATAAAATTTTTGTTTGAAAATTTTTTAAAAACACCTAAAATCACCCAATTTCAAATCTAATTTGTACTTGTGTCCATTTCAAAGGTGAGGGTTTAATGTTGATGTTTAATTTCCCAATCACTGTTAAAAAATAAACATCCCAATTGATCATTGTCTATGTATAATGATTAATTGGCATGTTGAATGAATGTGAGAAAAATTAGTGCTAAATACACAAGATTAAATGATACCCAGGTTACAGTGTAAGTTATTTTCAGGTAAATAAAAAAAAATTCATGGGGAATTGGTTGATTTATAAGTGTCTGTGAAATCAATTGAAAACTTTTAATGGCTATAATTCTAACCCCAGGCAAAATTAATTGACTGATTGAATAATTTTTTAACCAAAATCAAAATAAAAGCATTTTGTTTTTTCACAGAAAGGTGGGAGCATGTGGTTTGTAACTTCCTTCATATCGAAATTCATGCCCCTGAGGATTCTTTTCTGTAACACAAATATTCACACAGGGTTTTGCATCTCATCCAAATGATTAGATGATGTTCCTTTCCAGCCTCTCCCTCTCCCCTCCTTCCCCAATGACAACAGGAAGCCATTCTGGAAAATACCTATACCAGAATTGAACCCATGCCCCCCACATTAGTGAGCCTGGGGTCGGTAGCACCCTGCAACTTGTATATATAGTCTATAACTATGGCCTATATAGTAAAATAAGGAAAGATTATAACATTATAAAGGAGTTCAAGGTTGTTTGGAAAGCAATATGTATTTTCCTCATTTCTTACACTTGAAGCAGCTGAACTTAGTGTGATTTTTTTTTTTTTTGAAAGATTTATTAATGTCCTAAAAATTAAGTCAAATAATATCAATGCAAACTTGTTACAAATCATAATAAATCTCTTCAGTAAATCAATGTTTTTTCTAAGGATCTCCTGCAGTGATCTGATCAAAAACAAAAAAGATAGGTTGCCAGGCAACGAAACATACGCCCACACCAGCTATATCGTCCAGGCAATCAACAAAAGTTGTCGCAAATTTTTACTTTTTTCGGTAATGAAACATTTATAATACATTAAAATCTGACTAAGTGTAACAACTCAATAAGTAATTATCAGAAAACCATTAGAATTTGTTTGGTTTTTATAAAATTCTACCCCATGCTAACGTTTAGCATACAAAACTTTTAACATCATGGATTTAGCTGTTCCAAGTCATAAAGGTTCATTAAAAATCAATATACTTGTTCGTCTCAAGACCTTAAACTCTGTGTATCAATCTGAAGTCAATTGGATTATAACTTTAGCCTCTAGAGCGTCACAAGATTTTTCAAAGTGATCAAGGGCCATAACTTTGGTAGTAAATATCCAAAATCATTGAAAATCAATACGATTCTTCATCTCACGGCCTCAAACACTGTGTATAAATTTAAAGTCAATCAGATAACTTAAGTCTCTAGAGCGTCCACAAGATTTTTCAAAGTGATCAAGGGCCATAACTCTGGCAGTAATTATCGGAAATCGCTGAAAATCAATGGGCTTCTTTGTCTTATGACCTTAAACACTGTGTATAAATTTAAAGTCAATCGGATATTAACTTTAGCCTCTATAGCGCCACAAGATTTTTCAAAGTGATCAAGGACCATAACTCCGGCAGTAATTATCAGAAATCGTTGAAAATCAATAGGCTTCTTCGTCTCATGACATTAAACACTGTGTATAAATTTAAAGTCAATCGGATATTAACTTTAGCCTCTATAGCGCCCACAAGATTTTTCAAAGTGATCAAGGGCCATAACTCTGGCAAAAATTATCGGAAATCGCTGAAAACCCCTTACTTCAAGCCAGGGATCAAAACCACAACCATAAGCCAAAGGTGATCGGCCATCTCAACTGGGGTTGCCATGGTTATATGCTTTTTTTCACTGGTGGCATCCAATCAAAGACCTGATGGATTAAAGTAAGGATACAGGTATTTATACTGATGATATCCTTAGGTCGCCATGGTTATCGCTGGCTGCATCCAACCAAAGACTGATTATCAGTCAAGAGCAAATATCCTGTACTTTTCACACTGGATGCCAGACAATATTTTAGCAGTGTGAACTCAACTAAAGAGCACCAGAATGGACCATAAAACTCTTGTAGACAAGCTTACATCGAGTTCACCGAGTCCAAATACCTCATTGTACTGTCTCCCATCTCAATATACAGACAGACAACTAGAACTTGAGATGTATAATAAACGGACAGATTAAATCAAAGAGATCACAAAATCAATAATCACATTCTGACTGTGACCTTGTAACCCCCAAGATAGCCATTTACAACATCACCAAGGGCAAAGTGGTTCACACACTTTAAAGGTACTATCCTGATTTTAACAGAGTCTCACAAATAAAAGTTTAAACACCAGAATATATATAGAGAACGTCCACTCAACACAAAATAGGTCATTTCGGGACTAACACATGGTTCAATTTTATTTCTTTAATTTGCTTGCACGTAGGGGTCTTTAACAGTGGGAGGAAACCGGAGGACCCAGAGAAAACCCACGAGGTTGGACAGGTGACCCTACTCCTTGTCATGTACAACCGGGGATTTGAAACCATGCCAGTTGACTCAAAGACTGGCAGAATATAGAGGAATGGTGTATGTACTTACAACGGTCAAAACCACTTATCCGGACATGTAACACGTTCGGAAAATTTTCCATATTTAATTAATGTACCGGTTTGAAATTTATGTCAGTAATATTCCTGAATAAATTACTGAATTATAAATTAGTATTTTTATTTTTTTTTATTAGATATAAGCTGATACGGCACCGTCATATTTCTTCATAACACAATTTGTAGCTTTTTGGTTCTATCACGTCACTTGCAAATGTTTTTATTCATTCGTCCACGATAGACACACAGCACAGTGATCACGTGACAACCATAATTGAAATGGCTTTACAATCAAATTCAATACGACTGTGCCATATACATATATAGCTTTCAATGATAATAATGACAATATTTTTAAAAAATAAGCCTGTGTCAGCATGTGTATAAAATAAAAAATCATAACGGTAAACACTGTTTAAAACTAAAACTAGCATCGCCGCTGGTTTACTGACCTAATTTCAACCGATGTTATGTGTCATCGGAATTCGGCATTGGCGATTTATAATTTATTATTATTCACCGTTTCTCTCAGTGTATTCGGTGTTCGATCCAAGGATTATATTCAACTAAGATTTAAATTTAACAAACAACTGGTCAGTGAAACCATTAAATTATGGTCCAATTATTATTTTAATATCTACCGGTACACCTGGAATTTAAACATAGCATTGGAGGCGTGAGATATATGCACAATTAAACACTTGTAAATTGGACACTCATTATCAAAATTGAATGGTCAGCTTTAAACTGGACACTTGTACAAATTAAATAATTTTTACGAATTTTTAAACAAGGATTGATATTGAATGAATGTGAAAGAAATTAGTGCTAAATACACAAGATTAAATGATACCTGAGTTACAGTGTTTACAGACCCCCTATTGAAACAAAAATAAACCGTATATTAGTCCCAAAATGACCTAGCTCAGCTCTACACAACCATATCACAACACCTCGTATTAAAAATTTAGGTGGTCTTGATTAACCAGGACAAATCATTTGTGGCTTATATTATCCCTATACATAAAAAACATAGTCCGGATTATCCAGAACAAAACCCAGACCAAACTGGAAGCTATCTGCACTTACTGACCTCACAAACCGAAAGAACTCTGTGAGGTCTTCTAATTACCCCAAACATTTCTAAATCTCCAGGAATTTTATTATCATTTTTATAAAGTAAACCAATTTGTCTCCACTGCAGGTTATTGAGTGCAAATCTCTTAAATCTGACCTTCTTGTTTATGGCACCAGTATCTGGACTTGGTGCCAGCGTTCTTTATTTTGTCAGACTTGGTCTCAACTTACTAGTGTTTCTACAGAATATTAATTCTACAAATATTATTACTTCCAGCTAACAATACCATGTTAAACTTATTGTCGATTTAAATTTTTTTTTAATTCATGATAGTATTCAAAAATACAAACAAATTTAAATCATTTGGTTGACACAAATAATGAAAAGTAAACAACAGGATTTTTGTATATACATGTACCACATGTAATGACAATAAAAATAAGTGCAGGGGAACCCCGCACTGCACCCAAACAAAACCTGGAAAGACCAGACAAGACATGAAATGAAATGTAAGTTTAAACGTCCTACTGTTCTGCTCCGACTGGGCGAATGAAGACGAGCATACCTCATAGTGTGCGATGAGGGAAATTTTGCCCAGTCAGCGGCACTATGACCTACTCTTATATCGAATTCCAATTGCCAAGGGATCTTTTACGTACACGCCAATGTATACACAGGGCCTCGGTTTTTGTCCCCATCCAAACGACTAGACAGGCGGCCAATTTGTCTGTCAGTTTTAAACCGATTTTCATGAAATTTGAACTCAGTTGTCCTTAGGGTGTAACGGTGATATAATAATACGTTTTTTTAAATCGGATAAAAATTAAGACCTCTATAGGGTCCACAAGCTAAAAACGCAATTTTGCGTACAATCAGGGGCCATAATTCAGGAAGTTACGTTCCGATATGCGCGGATATCGAAAGGAACCGAGATCTTTGGGTTATAAACTCACATTTCAAGTTTCAACAAAATCGAATAAAAATTATGACCTCTACAGTGTTCACAAGCTAAAAACGTGATTTTTCGTACAATCAGGGGCCATAATCCATGAAGTTACAGTCCGATACATGCCAATATCGAAAGGAACCGATATCTTTGGGTGATAAACCTATATTTCAAGTTTCATTGAAATCGGATAAAAATTGTAGACTGTTCACAAACAATTGTGGACGGACGGACATGAAAATGTGGGCGTATAAAAATACTAGCGTATGGGTCTTTATTAGCAGTAGGAGGAAACCGAAGGAAGTGGAGAAAACTCATGAGGTTGGACAGGTGACCCTACTTCTTGTCATGTACAACAAACGGGGAATCGAAACCACGCCACTAGACACAATGACAGATTTTAACTCCACCCGACACAAACTAGGTTGGGACTAACGTATGTTTCAATTTGATTTCAATAATTAGCTTGCGCGTAGGGGTCTTTAGCAGTGGGAGAAAACTGGAGGAAATCATGAGGTTGGACAGGCGACCTTACTCCTTGTCACGTACAACCGGGGAAATCAAAACCACGCCATTTGACTCAATGACAGACCTTATGATACAACGCGCACATGCTAACCATTCGGTTATCCAACCCCCCACTTTAAATGATGTATTTTATGATAGGTGGCCAATTTTACTAAATAGCGACTTATATTAGAGCCGTGATATTTTGTCTGATAAATGATAATAGCCAGGTCTGAGGACAAAGACTGTAAAAAGAAAGATAAATATTGTAAAGGAAATATTTTTCAGCAGTAATCTAACTAACATCTCACATGAAGTCTGTACCTGTACCTTGTATAGTTGATTGGATGGTCCGAAATACCAAGGTCCGCCCCGCCCAAATATTTGTGATGCTTGTTGCCATTAGCAAGCTTCATCAATTTGTCAGTTGTGCAGGACAGATGGTCTGACAAGGACAGCTGTCTAGTTGTTCGGATGGGATGAAAAACTGAGGTCCTGTGTACACATTTGAGACCACGTAAAAGATCCCTTGGCAGTTGGGATTTGATATAACGTAAGTGTAGGCAAAATTTCCCTCATAGCACACTGTAGGGCGTATTGCCTGTCTTCGTTAGTCGGAGCAGAACAGTAGGACGTTAAACCATATTTCATTTCATTGGCAGTTGGAATTCGATATAAGAGTAGGCCATAGTGTCGCTGCCCGGGCAAAATTTCCCCTCATAGCACACGGTATGGTGTATGCCTGTCTTTACTAGCCCAGTATAGGAGCAGAACAGTAGGACGTTAAACCCCCATTTCATTTCATTAGCCAGGAGCTGAACAGTAGGACTTTAAACCTCATATTATTTCATTTAAACTGTAAACATACGGTACCAACGCCCCCGGCCCTTGTACTGATGTACCGTCATACTAAACTGTAAACATACCAACGACCCCGACCCTTGTACTGATGTAAACATATAAACACCCCCTCTACTATTTCTTACACCATCTGTTTGACAGTGTACTAGAATATAAACATATAAACACTGGTCTATCTATCTAAACACCATCTGGTTAACACAATATAACATTCCATATACCTACTCTAATCATTATATTAATAAACATACAGCAACCACCATCATATTTTTAATTCCAAGGGTACACAGGACGTAGCTTTTTACGGAGACTTCGTTTTCTCATCCCATCCCAAAAACTAGACACTGCTCATTGCCCGACTCTCAATTCTACAAATTTTTAATTCCAAGGGTACGTAGCTTTTTACGGGACTTTGATTTCTCATCCCATCCAAAGAACTAGGCAATAATCCATGCCAAACTCTCAATTCTACAAATTTTTAATTTTAAGGGTACGTAGCTTTTTATGGGACTTTGATTTCTCATCCCATCCCAAAAACTAGGCACTGCTCATTGCCCAACTCTTAATTCTATAAAACTGAGAGAGTTTGTGTAAAATGAATGTGAACACTGTATACCCTAAAATAAATAGACCAGTCCACTTGTAGCTACTACTTGGCTTGGCCAGTCTTCCTACTAGACAATTGATAAAATAAACATAATATATGGTCTGAGCCCTGATTAACTCTCTGCTCTCACTACTACTACAGTATATAAACACAGTTAGCTAGAAATATTCTCATATTGGACACAGGTTATCTTATAAAACACACCATGGCCCGCGATATTATCATTATACCAATAATGTCATCATCGTCTATATTTACACTTTGTCTCTCTACCTTTGATCATATTTTAGTTACCTGTTTACCTGTATTAATCTACCTGAGTTACCTGTGTGTTAAACTTTTATACACGCCTGTAAATATCAACTTTAAACTTTTATTTCATGTGTTAGGTATCTCACTCTCTACTTTCTTTTTACCTTGTGTTTTTACACCTGGATTCAGCCTTATAATTAACCTTTGTCTCGGAATTTACCTCATCAAAAAAATACCTATGCTCTGGTTACCTGCTGATGGCAAGGCTGTTTTAATTACAGGTAAGACTTTCATTAGATTTTCTTTTTCTTATAAAAAAAAAAAAAAAAAAAATTAAAATGCTCAGAGAAGTGCAGTATACATAGAAGCAACCAAAATTTCCCCAATTATTTTTTTTACCGATTTAAAAAAAACACAAAACTTCCCTTTTATTATTACTAGTATCTGATTGTCATTTAAGCTATTTTGAATCGTAGATAGAGACAGAAATGGTGTTTAACGTCAACTCAACACAAACTAGGTCATTTCGGGACTAACATATGCTTTAATTTTATTTCAATAATTCGCTTGCGCGTAGGGGTCTTTAGCAGTGGGAGGAAACCGGAGGACCCAGAGAAAACCCACGAGGAGAGGCGACCCTACTCCTGTAAAACCTCGTGGGTTTTCTCCGGGTCCTCAGGTTTCCTCCCACTGCTAAAGACCCCCTACGCGCACACGAATTATTGGAATAAAATTGAACCATATGTTAGTCCCAAAATGACCTAGTTTTTGTCGAGGGAACGTTAAACCTCATTTTTCTCTCTCCCCATATCATTTCTATACAGCGTAACTAGGCCTTATTTTAAAGCAGGAGTTTTATTGAACTATATAATAATGAATGGTGTTTCATCATGATTTATTGGGGTATATCAAACTAGATAGGACAATAAACTATAGATAATAATGAAATAATGATTTATAGGGGTACCTGTTTATAACTCTTGTCTATAATCTAGTACTATCATATAGTAAAAGATAAATAATGACCTATTAGAAATATGTACTGAATGACGTACTCGTTAAAGACTCCATATATGATTCTAACCACAGTGGAATCCCTTGAAAAATTAATTAGTCTATGTTTCACCGTCCGTACCTGTCGCCATTTTCTTTTTTTTATTGGGGGGGGGGGGGGCAAATGTTCTACTCTGAAGTCTAATATTAAGTGCAGACGGACCGCACTACACACAAGACAAGCCTGCGGACAAGAAAAAATACATACACATTGAAATAAATTAACAACAAATATCAAATCATGTAAAAGGATCTAGGTAGTCGAAACGTCCACTGCGCTGCTGTACAGTCCTGGGCCTGTAAATAATACAGCTTTAACTCGCAATCCATTAAAATAATACAGATTTATAAGAAAGACATAGAGTAGAAATCACACCACTGGTATATTAACAGCGGTTGTTTCCTCAATGGTGATTGTCTGGAAGTTGACGGCTTGAGTCAGAACGTCAAAACATGTTAACTTAGGCATTGATTTACACAGGTCAATAATTCACTTCCCCGACGATCGGATGGCTGTGATATTAAATAGTTTCAAACACATCGTCCACTTAATACTTTAATGTTAAAATGGATAATTGAGACTTTGTTTATTATTCAGTTGACTCAATGACAGACCTTATGATAACCACCATTCAGTCATCACCCCCCCCCACCCCCGCCAACTCTCCTCCCCTGTCAAATCTTCAAACACTCATAACTTAGCTCAGAATAAAGTAATCTGACTAAAACTTTCAATATACCTTTTTAACCTATTCCTTTTTCATTATCTATTTTTCAACTATTATATCAAGAACGACCATCTTAATCTTAAATAATGCATCTTTATGGACTGAGAGAGAGAGAGAGAGAGAGAGGAGAGAGAGAGAGAGAGAGAGAGAGAGAGAGAGAGAGAGAGAAATGGGGTTTAAAGTCCACTCGACACAAACTAGGTCATTTCGGGACTAACATATGGTTCAATTTTATTTTCATAATTCGCTTGAGCGTAGGGGTCTTTAGCAGTGGGAGGAAACCGGAGGACCCGGAGAAAACCCACGAAGTTGGACAGGCGACCCTACTCCTTGTCACGTACAACCGGAGATTAGAAAGCACGCCAGTTGACTCAATGACAGACTTAATGATTTTATAGACTGAAATCACAGCAGTCATCAGATACTGATTCATCTCACTAACGAAAAAATACATTTTCAAAATCAATATACTTTATTTAACCCATTCCTTTTTCACTACATATATCAACATGTATTTTTCAACTATTATATCAAGAACGACCATCTTTACAGATTGAAATCACAGCAGCAGCCATCAGATATTGATGCATCTCACTTACGAAAAAATACATTTTAAAAAAATGATTAAAAAATAGTGTAAGAGAAGTAGGTTGTTTTTCGTGTACTATTTGAACCAAGAGAGAGACAACATGGGGATTTAGGTGCAGGTACAATACCATGACAATCAAACATGGAGGTGTTTATAAATACCTACAGGTAGATTTAACAATTAAAACATCTCTAACATTTCCTTAAACTGCATGAGCATGTTCAAATATATTGTACCTGTTGCACCTTTATATCAACTCACCTTGTTGTTTTTGTTTAAATATGTCGACCTACTGTTGATTTAAATGTTTAAAATAGCTTAAATCAGCTAGTCCGCCCCCCCCCCTCTCAAAAATAACAAAAACAAGTTATCTCATCCTTGAGTGGCATTTACTAATGTTGACTGTGTTTAAAATAGAATAAATTATCAAGTCCTTGAGTGGTATTTACTAATGTTGACTGTGTTTAAAATAGTTTAAATTATCCCGTCCTTGAGTGGTATTTAGCGATTGAGCATAACATATAAATAAGACAAGATAACTGTCATGGATATGACAAGGTTGTACACGCAAAGGACAATGTTTTAACATGTGTTCTCTTTCAAGGACAAATGAGTATATACTAGTATTTGTTTTCCATATAAATTGTGTTGTGGTTTTTTTTTATTATACCTGTTTGATAACAACTGAGTATCTTTACCTGGATTTTTTTTTTAAAACTAAATATCAAGAGATCTTTTACGGGCATGCCAATGTGTACAAACAGGACCTTGGTTTTTCATTCCATGTGAATGATTAGAAGTAGGCAGCTGTCCTTGTCAGGCCCACCACCCTGCCCCACTGACTAGGGAAAACCACGCCGGAAAATACTGATGAATTTTCTTGGCCGACACTGGGAGGGAACCTCCAATTTGCAAGGAGACCACATACAAACAATTAGACAAAACAAACCCAGGGACTTTTCTCGGCCAAGGAGACCACATACAAACAATTACACAAAACATGGACAAGACACACAAGACATACAGACCACAAACAACAACCGTACATATCCATTCAAACAAACGGATCTGATCGCTAGCCGTAAGTGTCCACTAAACAGTTCCGGGCTTCACTCAAAATGAAAACAATATCCCTGTTTACACTTGGCTGCGATAAGCGTGCCGTTCTCGGCACAGTACCAGACCGCGATGAATTTCAAGAAATTGACCCGTTTACACGCCAAATGTCTAACTCTTGATAAAAAAGTTAATTTCAGTCCCTATGCAAATTCCCCGGAAGATGACAATTATATCAGTTGATTTAATTAGGGCAGCCATTTTGGCAGAACTGATGACAGAACTGTCAACGTTCGAGTGGCGGGTTCGGTTGTCAAGGTTCATTTGGAGCATGCGAAGTAATACGTACAGATACCCTTTCTCAGACCGGCTAACGTTTACACTACGAAAATTTAACCATGCCGTACCTGGCACCGTGCATCGTTTATGAGGGAAACAATCCAACAAAAAAAGGGGGGGGGGAATATTTCCCAAATATTGTATCATGTGAGTCATGACTTGAAATCTCTTATGTCAGTAAAAGTGAGAGCATCCCTTTAATGTACTAGATGATCTTAATGTCCTACTGTTCAGGCATGTATAATAATTGGGTTGTCTCAAGACTTTCAGGAATGTTCTTGGTACATTTAGAACATAAATATTTATGATGTGGTGGATTTAGGTTTGCTTAGACAGAACTGAAATATTATTCCATTTGTGACTGTACTGAGTAACACGTTTAGGTTGTTTCTGGTGCTAGCTGAAGTCTCTTCCAGACACAAGCTGTCTTATACTGTTAATAGAACTGGCACCAGAAATATTGGAATGTTTATATAACCCTAGGGTTTAAAGTTTATCTGGTAGAGAAACACTGATGATGCAAGGAACAAGACAGGAACAGGAAATTAAGTTGCAGAAATAGTTTTGTATATATACATAGATATATAACTATGTAAGCTTCAATGTGTTAAACAGAAAAAAAAAACCTTCTCAATCAAATTGTTTTTAAAAATTTGTATTAAAAAGTAACAGATTTTGCGTATCAACAAATCTGGATGGAAAACGTACAAAAAATAGATGTAAATTTGAAATGAAATGAAATGGGTTTTATTTCCTACAGTTCTGCTCCGAACTGGGCTAATGAAGACGGGCATACGCCATACAGTGTACTATGAGGGTAATTTTGACTGGACAGGGTCTTATATCGAATTCCAACTGCCACGGGATCTTTTACGTGCACACCAATGTGTACACAGGACATGCTTTTCATTCCATCCGAAGGACTACACAGCTGTCTTTGCAAGGCCCGCCACCCTGCACCATTGACAACTGGAAACCACATCACAAAATCCTGATGAACTTTCTCTGCTAATGCAACCTCCATGTAAATTTGTAAAATATATTCAACATTTAATCAATATCATTTACGGGACAAACGCACGTTTTATTTTTATCTTTCGAATGAACTACCAGATGAAAACCTATTTTCAGAAGAAGACATGCCATTGTCATGTGCTCATAAAAGGGATTCTTTCACCCAGTTGTGTTTATGTGAAAGTTTAAAAGATTCCAGAAAAGCATGGTCCGGATACTCCTACCAAAAATATGCTATTCTGTAGAATGAGGAGAAACATAAGTGGAACACAGTATTATAGTGATTGCATAAAAAATCCACAAACATTCCCCCAGCACTGTGAAAATTAAGTCACCAGCATAATGTGTGTGAGAGAGATATGGGGTTTAACGTCCACTCGACACAAACTAGGTCATTTCAGAACTAACATATAGTTCAATTTTATTTCAATAATTCTCTTGTGCATAGGGGTTTTAGCAGTGGGAGGAAACTGGAGGACCAAAAGAAAACCCACAAGGTTGGACAGGCGACCCCTACTCCTTGTCACATACAAGCATGCACACATTAACCCCCTCCCCTCCCCGCCTAGTGTATTCAACATGAGTCATACTTGTAACCGTTCTGAATAAAATATGTTAAGAGTTTAATGAGTTTGTACTTGTTACTGATTTTAGATTTCTCCCTTTTCTGCAGGTTGTGATCAAGGTATTGGACATGAACTGGCTAAAAAGTTAGATAGTCTTGGTTTTCAAGTCTTTGCTGGTTGTTTATTTAAAGACGGAGCAGGAGAAAAGGAATTAGTAGACTCTTGTTCCAGTCGCCTGCAGACAGTACAATTAGATGTTAGAGATACAATGCAGATTGATTTGGCCGTCAAGGAAGTTACGTCTGCTCTCGGCAACAACAGTATGTAGATAATAGATGAAGCACGCTATAATTAAATAGGTCACCCAAAATATTTAAAGATACATTATGGGAGATTAGATAAAGAGCTGACAGTTCTCACTATAATAGTTATAGATAATGTAAAGGGTATTTGCTGAAAATTTCAGTCAAATTGATCCCCTCTGAAAATTTAGTGATTGAATTTTGGGCCTAGCTTCAATCATCATTACTAAAGTCAATAAGATAAAATAGATATTCTTGTTTTATCTATTTCTTGATTTAATCATGAATGCGAGTTGAGCAGCAGATCGGATCCTTATCCAGTAAATATCGCAGGCTAGCCATGACATCGAGAGTTGATTATAGTCTGAATAAGTTAATTAATGTCTAATTAATAATTTAGATAGTATTTCAGGTGTAAAGAAAGACCTGCAATAGGCAGATTTAGCTCTTGCATAATATATGTTTAATCTAAAATAAAAAAAAAAGTCCAACTAAATTCTTTAAGTCAAGACCACAGACGACCTATATTTACAGTATAAAAATATCGGGTCAAGCAAAAAGAGAGAGAGATGGGTTTAACATCCACTCAAAACAAACAAGGTCATATCGGGACTAACCTATGATTAAGTTTTATTTCAATATCTTGATTGCGTGTACAGGTCTTAAGCTAGATTGCCTATACATATCTTAAACAGTCTTGATGTATCAACAGTACAATTCATTCTGATCAATTTCAATGTTTATTTGAACTCAATCAGTTTAGAAATAGCTGAGAAAAATCAGTTTTCAGAAAATGATATTCTGTAGCTATATTTAACTTCTGTTCCATGGAGGCTTGAACAGAGCACACTGTAAAACAATATTGGTATATATTTTAACAATGCTTGGTACTATGTAGACAATGTTAGGTGACAATGTAGACAATGTTAGGTGGTAATGTACACAAGGTTAGTTGGTAATATAAACAAGGTTAGGTGGTAGTGTACACAATTTTAGGCGGCAATGTAAAACAATGCTAGGTGGCATGTAAACAATTTTAGGTGACAATGTAAACAATTTTAGGTGCCAATGCAAACAATGTTAGGTGGCAATGTAAACAATGCTAGGTGGCAATGTAAACAATGCTAGGTGACTTGTAAACAAAGTTGGCATGTAAATAATTTGAAGTAGCAATTAAATTGTTTCAATAGCATTTAGTAATTGAACCTGAATAAACAGGTCACAATTCTATAGAATACAATTACTGCTTATTACTGGGCGCTGCAAACAATGTTGGTGCTAGTGCTGATATCAAGTATCGAAATGAAATGAAATGAAATGGAGTTTAACGTCCTACTGTTCTGTGCTCCTAACCTGGGCTAATGAAGACGGGCATACGCCATACAGTGTGCTATGAGGGAAATTTTGCCCGGACAGCGGCACTACGGCCTACTCTTATATATCGAATTCCAACTGCCAAGGGATCTTTTACGTACACGCCAATGTGTACACGGGACCTCGGTTTTTCGTCCAATCCGAACGACTATACAGCTTTCCTTGTCAGGCCCTCCGTCCTGCATCACTGACAAGGGGAAACCACGCCGGAAAATCTGGATGAACTTTCTCGGCCAATGCAGGGATCATCAAGTATTCCCCTGACGCCAATTCGATTCTCGGTCCTTTTTTGTATTATCAATGCATCGGCAAAAAATACTAATAATTAGCTTTATGTGTCCGAGGAGTGCGAGGACTCCGAGGAGTTCACAAGTTCGTCCACTAGAATAAAAAAAACACCTTTTCAATATGTTTTTATAATTCAAAATAAAACAATATATATGTAACGGAACAATTCAATGAATCCCGCACAAATTATTAGGCTTGACCTGTTTACCCTACGCTTCTGTTATGTTTGTCTCCATTTTCCAGTGACTACAAAGACTGCATTTGCTGGCTACGTCCCCTGGATATCGTGTCCTTTAACCCCAAGGTCAATTTCACTGTTAATTTTAATGACCAAACGAACTGTCAGAAGGATAATATTTCACGGCCGGTTCTTAACGCTAGTTTTAAAACGATTCAGTCTTATTTTCTGCACGAGCAATAGAGAATTCATAAACCCCTATAGACAGGCTTTGATACGATTCGTATAAATAATGCAAACGCTGTCTCTTGGAATGAGTGTCAATTGAAGTGAATCGGATGATATTAATGTCATAATAAATAACAGAAGAACATTGTGGAAAAAAATTTATTCAAATAAATCGACATTTCTATAATAGGCCTAATGATAATGTTAGGGAAATTTATGTTTCTATCAGAAATACTAATGTTATTTCTGTAATTTTTGATTAACAAAATGGCGGCAAATTTCCGATGCATCGATACGAGAATCAATGTTTGCGTCCGATGCATCGATGCGTAAAATTTTACTTGATATCAGCACTAGTTGGTGCATATGTACATTTTAACATACTAACTAACAGAGATAATGGGTATTGCAAACAATGTTGGAATATATTTTAACAGAGCTATGGGGTATTGTCAACAATGCTGGGATATGTTACATTGGCAACGTGGAAATGATGACCGTTGAAGACATGCAGAAAATTATGGCAGTGAATTATTTTGGTCCTGTAAATATCTGCAAGGCGTTTTTACCTCTTCTTAGACGGAGTAAAGGTAGACTAGTTAACATCGCTAGTAATGCAGGTAAGACAAATACAACCATGTATTTCTACTGTATCGCCTATTGAAAGACAAGTGTTTATATCACATGATGCTGTTTTACGAAAAAACAAATCAGTTTCCAGTCATTGTTTTTTAAGGCGAGTGATCACCTGAATGTCGACCAAGGGTTGGGTTTTTTTTACCTCCCCTTAAAATTGAAAATCGCTCTCCTTTACAAAGTCATTGGGGGTTTATTATCATTTATCAAACCAGGAATGACCCCATTACATGCAGTTATCAATCTTCAGAACCATTTCTCATACACACAACTAATCCCTTTCCTTAATATCAGATCACTCTCCTTAATTTCTAAATCACTCTTCTTAATTTCTAAATCATTCTTATTTAGGGGAGCGATTTTTAGCTCTCCTCAGAAATACAAAAACGACTGAGTTTCAGGTACTTATTTCAATATATATATGAAGTAGGTCTTGAGTTGGTATTCAAATCGGTTCTCAATAAACACAACGATTTGTCTCGCAAGATAGCCGAAAAACAGAGGAATGTAGTAAAAAAAAACAAAAAAAACAATTATGTTTATTAGGAAGTCTCAGCCCCAATATTTGTTTTATTGATCAGGTCTGGCGCCGATACCTCTGATGGGAGTATACTGTGCATCTAAAGCTGCTCTAGCCAGTATGACGGAGGTATGGAGATATGAATTACAGGCATGGGGTATTAAAGTTTCCATGATTATACCTAGTGGTTATAAAACAGGTAGGTCTAATAACATTGTATCACAAAGGATTATAACATTTAATCAATAAGTTAAAAATTGCTAATTAAATCTGACAAGAAATGATTACATCATGTAGTTATTAATTAACAAAAACTCCTGCTAAAACTACACGACACCCTGGTTGTAGTAAAATATATGTAAACAATTGAAAGTAGAGCTGGGCAATATCTCTGGAACATGACAACATTTTATAAAATGTCAATAATTTCAGTTTATCACCTTTTAAATGTAAATAAACATGCATAAAAAGTCGGAAATACCCCTGGAGTACATTTCAATTTACATTTGTAGTCAATGTTATTAAATTTCTTTAGAATAAATACAGTACTGAATTTATATACAAAATTTAACGAGCTGATCAACATGCGTAGAAATTGAACAGAAACATGGATAATCCTAACGGTATCGATCGGGTGGAAAAGTGGCATAAAGAAAGATCTTTAACGGTGTTTCCAAACTTCGTGAAATGAACACTCGGGAGTTTATAACAGTATTTATTCATCATTAAGCATTAAAATATCGTAAATAAAATAATAAGGAAGTCAGTTTTTCAATTTTTATATTAATCATCCAGAAAATCAAAACCGGGATATATCGAGGTATGGTCGTTTTTTTGATATTTTTGTAAATACGGTATTTTTGACAGATTTTATTTCTATGACGTTTTTAGATCGAAAAACCAATATATCGCACAGCTCTAATTGAAAGCTGACCAAAATTTTATTGTAGAGAAGTTCATTGAATAATCATGCAGCTAAAACAATGGGGTTTATTGTCCACTCAACAAGTCAGGACACATGACTCAATTTTATTACAATAATTCACATTAATTAGTGTATTAGTCTTTGGCATTGGGAGCAAAATTAGTGTATTAGTCGTTGGCATTGGGAGCAAACCGGAGGACCCAGAGCAAGAGAGAGAGCAATGGGGTTTAACGACCACTTGACACAAACTAGGCCATTTTGGGACTATCACATGGTTCAATTTTATTTCAATAATTTGCTTGAACACATGGGTCTTTAGCAGTGGGAGGAAACTGAAGGATCCAGAGAAAACCCAAGAGGTTGGATGGACTCCTTGTCACGTACAAGCAAGGAATCGAAACTAAGCCACTTGACTCAATGACAGACATTATGATCTAAAGTTTATATGTTAAACCATTCAGATTAACCACCTCACATTGAACATACATTATGCAAGAGCTAAATCTGTCTATTTCAGGTCTTTCTTTAGGCCTGAAATGTTATCCAAATGATTAATTAGACATTAATTAACCTATTCAGACCATAATCAACTCTCGATGCCATCGCTAGCCTGTGAGATTTATTGGATTTGAATACATTTTGTGATGGATGATTTAATGTCAAAATGGATAATTTTACCATACTGACTTTAGTAATGATAATCGAGGCTAGGCCTAAAATTCAATAGCTAATATCTCGGTTCAGAGTGGGGCATTTTGAATGCAATTTCAACATATTCTCATTACGTTATCTATTTTTCAACTATTTGAGCGAGAACTGTCAGATATTTATCTAATCTCCCATAATGCCCATTTAGATATTATTTCTTTCTTGAAGGTATTTTAAATTATGATAAAGTTCAAACAGCAGAAAGATGGTGGACAGCTGCTAACGATACAGTTAAAAGGGATTATGGGAAGGAATGTTTTTATGTCAAATTCAAAATGCCAGGTAAGTGAAATAAAATGAGGTTAGGGTATGCAGTTTGTCGTCCCAGCCCAATAACTAAATACTTTCGCTTATCAGGCCTTTCATTCTGCACCTTGGACAAGGGGGGAACCACGTACGGTCAACACCAGGATCAAACACGTAACCTGTAGGTCAGTGAGTCCGTGTCTTACTCACCAAGCCACCATTATTATTTATTTTCAAAATGCCAGGTAAAAAAAAACAGTACAAGATGTCTATTTCAGGACAATCATATTTACAAAAATATCTATCAAACTTTAAAATGCGAAACACTCTGGGTGTGAATCGGCATGAGTTTTCATTACTCTAAAGAATAGTATGTCTGCCACAATTAATATTCGCTTTGATTTGAATTTTTTGTGTATCATTTAATTTCTACTAATCAAATACTGTTTATAGGCCAAAATTTAGTGAGGATCCTCTGAGTCTAAATTTAATTTTAATTGATACATGTACATGTGACTTAGAGATTAATTTCTATGGAAGAAACTGGAGTTTAATTTTTGGGATAACGACCGACTCCAATTTTTTAAATAACCCTCTTAGGCCCCATGTGTTATATAAGTCACACTGATTTTAGAGGGGTTGGGGACTAGGTCAATAACATGAATTCAACTATTTTACCACTTAAGCCCAAAGTGACACCACTGTCACACTAGTTAGACCATCTCAAGTCAGTTTGATGAACTACCAAGAGCATGACACCCTTTCCAATATGACAGCCCCTAATTTTAGGAAATAATTTTAGGCATGGTAAAACAATCATCTCTATAAATCAATTTACTTTTTTTTCAGATCATGAAAGTGTCCTCAACAGTGACTTAACCTCTATTTTAGATGCCATGGTGGATGCTCTTTTATCTCACGATCCCCAGCCATGGTATTATCGTGGATTATTGTCTCGTTGTCTCCCGTTTCTATACCTACATCTACCTACCTTTATTGGTGATCAAATTATTAAATTAATGGCCGATTGGTTTGATTTCATGCCTCAAGCGTTAATTCGTGACAGTAAAACAGCGTGAATGAAGGGAAGTTGAACAGTCAATTTCACCATAATATTTAATGAACACCGTCTGACAGCAATGCAAGATTTGAGCGAGACCAAAGTGTTTAAATTGTGGGGTCTCGGTCATTTTTAATTTGAAACGTGGTACTAGATGAATATACAGTTTACAGATATATACTGACAATACATGTAAACACCGGATACATTGTGTATAGACAGTTATATACACTGACAATATATATATATACACTATATACACTGCCAATACAGGTAAACTCCAGAAACATTGTGTATAGACACTGCCAATACAGGTAAACACCAGAAACATTGTGTATATACACTGCCAATACAGGTAAACTCCAGAAACCTTGTGTATAGACAGTTATATACACTGACAATACACAAACGTCAGTAAGGTGACAGACATACACTGGTAAGCTGATACCGGTGACTTATAAACCTAGGCCTTTTAGTAATGGCAATTTTTGTCATTAAATGACTAAGTGGTCAGTATTCTAAACTAATGTTTAGTATGTATAGAAAGTGGTTAGAAATTATACAGTTGTCATTAATTAGTAGGTGTGTAACTAGCTGTAAAAGATGTCACTACTGGTGTAAAAATATGACTATTTATAACACCCATCACTATTGAATACACAAACCTGGACAATAGTGGTGTATATCATTCACCTTAATGACGTAACACCTACTTAATGACTTCTGTCTGATTACTAACAATTTTAATGAACTAATAAACATTATGTATATAAAATGATGTCTTTGATCTGCTAGTGTCGTATTTATTCACACAAGGTACAATTTTATTGACTGAGTTTATTACTAAGCGATGTTTTGACGAGGATAATCTCGTCTTTATCAAACAAATGATACAGGTATGTGAATAGTAGGCAAATATATACAGAATATGCAACAAAAATAAGAATCAAATACAATTAAGTATTAACACCTTTGATTAGGGGGCCATTTATTTATTCGTTTATAAAAGTTATTTGTTGCTTAGTCAACGATATCAACTATACAGTGATAAATATGCAATAATTTTTATACAAATCTATGGGAATTCTCATGTTAATCTGTGCATATTATTAGAATATTTAGGCCTACAATAAATGTACGAACAGCTATTGGATGATAGCTTCTGTCTTCTGAAATCTGAGTTGGAGAGAGAGAGAGAAATGGGGTTTAACGTCCACTCGACACAACTAGGTCATTTCAGGACTAACATATGGTTTAATTTTATTTCAATAATTCGCTTGCGCATAGGGGTCTTCAGCAGAGGGAGGAAACCAGAGGACCCGGAGAAAACCCACAAGGTTGGACAGGCGACCCTACTCCTTGTCACGTACAACCGGGGATTCAAAGCCGCGCCAGTCGACTCAATGACAGACTTTATGATACAGCGCGCACGCTAACCATTCAGCCATCCAACCCCCCTGAAATCTGAGTTGGAACTATTTCATACCACTTCTCACTGAGTGTCAATAACCAGAGTTATTTTAATTTACAGAATACTGGCGTTTTAGCAACTAAACAAGTGTCTTTAACTCAGACAAAATTTAAAATCTTCAAGAATCTTTGCTCAAATAAATATTTCAAGGTTCCCCTGAATTTGGAAACCTTTATTCTGTAAATGGAAGTGAGGTGATCTAAACTGATGTGTAATATTATGTGTCTTCTGAAAGTTACCATGAAATGAAACGGGGTTTAACGTCCTACTCCCGCTGGGCTAATGAAGACGGGCATACGTCGAACACAGTGTACTATGAGGGAAATTTTGCTCGGACAGCGTCACTACAGCTTACTCTTATATCAAATTCCAACAGCTAAGAAATCTTTTATGTGCACGCCAATGTGTACACGGGACCCTTTTTATTTGTTCCATCAGAATGACTAGACAGCTGTCCTAAAAGTTTAGCACTTCCTTTTCTTTTATTTGCAAAAAAAATCCAATAAAACAATATTGGCAAGTAAGTCCAAAACGAAAACATGCAGACTAAAGACTCTAGACTATTATTATTTTTTAATTAACACAGTCTCAGGCTGACCTTAAAAATATCTTTGTTTCACCAAACCCGACCCACTATCGAGGAGAAGGGTCGGTAGGTCGTTTTTTTTTTCAGATTTTTTTTTAAAGTCAGAGAAATCAATACAGAAAACTTATTAGCTGTATACCACAGATTCATTAATTTTGTTTAATGAATTTGGGGTCTGACGTAAAAAGTAACGAACTGAAAGTTTTTATTAAACTTAAGAGCTAATTTCACAGCTTAATAATTTTCCGGGTGGAAACATTCGTCTTCTTTATTGGCAAACAAATCAATGACATCGGGATTTTTCGTGATGCCCGACTCGCACACGATTTGCCACGAACTTGAAGTGTGAAACTCCTTCAACACGTTTTTAACGATAGTGCGGGTTGTGCCTTCATTTTTCTCGAAAACGGATATTGAAAATATCGTCGTCATGTTTAAAACTACACACCACAGACATAGAGGTAGAATCATTTCGTGGGAATGGACGTGTATTCGTCTGCAACCATTTTGTTGAGAAGCGACACCTATGACGCTTTCGTCTTGATCAACCAGTTTCAATAATGAATCAAACCATAGCCATAGTAAAGGGAAATAACTCTCATGATATATTTCAGGTTGACACACGAAATAAAATAAAAAGATCGTGGAAAAGTGCAATAAAATAATTTAAGTCGGGGGTGGTTTTAGTTAGTCGGTCGCGTTAGGCGAAACAAAGATATTTTTAAGGTCAGCCTCAAGTGGTTAAATGAAGAAAATATTTTCCATAAATATTTCATTGAAATAATAGTGATGAAGTGCTTGTGTGGATTAAGCTCAACCATCACACTTACATATGTATAAATATGTGTGATTTGTTTAATATCAGTGATGAAGGATTGCCAACTTTTTTAAGGACGTTGAGCAGTCTAAAATGCACATTTAAAAGCTAGCACTGTAATTTTTGTTGATAAGATATAACATTTTTTGTTATTTTGGTTGGTAAACTACAATGTACATATTATTAATCAACAAAATAAATATCAATTTTATTTACCAACTATGTTTCAAACTTGGTCCAAAAATATGGTAATAAAGGGTGCTGATGACACAAAAGTCAAATTTTCTCAATTATGACTGCATAGTAAGTTTACAAGGACTACACAACACGTAAAGATAAACCTGCGTACAAGAAAATGACAAAGGGTTTTATTTCCTAATGCTCTGCTCCGACTGGGCTAATGAAGACACTATACAGTGTGCTATGAGGGAAATTTTGCCAAGGCAGCATTAAGGGATCGTTGTGTGCACCCCAATGTATACACTGGACCTTGGTTTTGCGTCCCATCCGAAAGACCTAGACTGCTGTCCTTGTCAGGCCTTCCGCCCTCCACCATTGACAAGGGGAAACCATGTTGGAAAATCCTGATGAACTTTCTCGACCAATGCAGGGGTCGAAGATGCGACCTCCAGGGGTCGAAGATGCGAACTCCAGACTGAGACTATTTCTACTAGTTTTAATAATAACGCCGGATCTGGTAAGCAGAAACTGGGTGCCACGATGGCTCGGCGGGTAAGACGATGGTTCAGTAACCTGGAGGTCGGGTGTTCGATCTCTGGTATAGTTGTTCGGATGGTATAAAAAAAAACGAGATGATGTTTTCCTATTGGCATGCACGTAAAAGATCCCTTGGCAGTAGTGTGTATGCCTGTCTTCATTAGCCCTGTCGGATAGAACAGTAGGACGTTAACCCCTTTTCATTTTATGTCTTACAGAAACATCAACATCAACTCGACACAAACTAGGTCATTTCAGGACTAACACATGGTTCAATTTTATTTCAATAATTCGCTTGCGTGTAGGGGTCTTTAGCAGTGGGACGAAACCAAAGGACCCAGAGAAAACCCATGAGGCTGGACAGGCAACCCAACTCCTTACAAATGGGGAATCAAAACCACGCCAGTTGATTCAACTTGGTTAAAGGAACCACTGGCTCGCACAGAAAAATTGCGATCTGCGCTCATATTAATGGAAGAGTTAAATCTGAAATTTAATAAGAACAGCAGTAATTTATAAAGAAAATTGTATTTTTTACTTACTGGCAGTATCAGCTTGTCGTTTCTGATGATCAATGAATTTTGTGCGATTAGCAAACAGACCACCACATGTTGGACAAGCTACAACCTTTTCTTGTGAATGACTTCGAATATGTTCCTTTAGTTTGTATTTGCTTCGAACTAATGTATCACAGCCTATAATAATACAGAAGTATTTTATTCTAACTAATCAAAACAAGAGTTAGCTCCCATTGTGAGAGAGAGAGAGAGAGAGAGAGAGAGAGAGAGAGAGAGATGTGGTTTAACATCCACTCACACAAACTAAGTCATTTTGGAGCTAACAAATGGTTCAATTTTATTTCAATAATTTGCTTGCGCGTAGGGGTCTTTAGCAGTGGGAGGAAACCGGAGGACCAGGAGAAAATCCAAAAGGTTGGACAGGCAACCCTACTCCTTGTCAAGTACAATCAAGGAATCGATACCACACCAGCTGACTCAATGACAGACCTTATGATACATTGCGCACATGCTAACCATTCCGCCATCCAACCAGCCCATCTTTCTGTTATGGAAATCAAATAACCCACATCTTGTATCAAATCATAAACATTTCAAATATTCTAAAAAACATAGACGAGGGCGTGTAACACCCAATATTTACACTCATCAACAAGTTCTAAAAAATATATTACTAAGGCTGACCTTATCGTCGTCATGTTTAAAACGACGTCCCACATAGAGGCAGAATCATTTCGTGGGAATGGATGTGCTTTCGTCTGCAACCATTTTGTTGAGAAGCGACACCTATGACGCTTTCGTCTTGATCAACCAGTTTCAATAATGAATCAAACCATAGACATAGTAAAGGGAAATAACACTCGTGATATATTTCAGGTTGACACACAAAATAAAATAAAAAGATCGCGGAAAAGTGCAATAAAATAATTTAAGTCGGGGGTGGTTTTAGTTAGTCGGTCGCGTTAGGCGAAACAAAGATATTTTAAAGTTCAGCCTAATCATTTTCTTAGTTTAAAAGAAAACATATGATGGGAATTATATAAATAAATAAAATATCTAAAATATTCAAAATACACAGAGGAGAATTTGTCTGACCTCAAAATCAATCATAGCCAAAACATCACACAAAGCAAGTTTTAAAAAATATATCATTAACCATTTACTAAGCTTTAACAAATGAAATGAAATGGGTTAAACATCCTACTGTTCTGCTCCTAAACTGGGCTAATGAAGACGGGCATACGCCATACAGTGTGCTATGAGGGAAATTTTGCCCGGTCAGCGGCGCTACAGCCTACTCTTATATCAAATTCCAACTGCCAAGGGATCTTTTACGTGCACGCCAATATGTATACGGGACCTCGGTTTTTCGTCCTGCATCACTAACAAGGGGAAACCAAGCAGGAAAATCTGGATGAACTTTCTCGGCCAATGCAGGGATCGAACACCCGACCTCCAGGCTAGCGAGCCAGCGTCTTACCCACTTAGCCACGTGATCCCCAAAGCTTTAATAACTTTAAAGGTAAAAATATGTGTGGAAAAATAACTCTGTGAGGTGAGTTCAAAATATAAGATACCCAAATTTTGAAAATGAATGGGATTCTTCTCATGTCATGTCTCACCAAGTTTTAAAAATTTTGATTGAGAACTCTGTCTTGTATCCTGTCCACAAGATTCCATGAATTTAAAAGTAAATGTGGGGATAACTCTAAAACATTCTGGGACTCAATTATTTTGAATTGCAAGAGGTTTCCTTGTCATGCCATACTGAACAATCCATCTGAGTCTTTTTTTTTTAAATTTCATTGCAAACTATTTTCTGTGTCTTCTAGACCAAATCTTTAAAATCCGCAAAATATAACACTGCAGAATGCATTCGAAATTTACAATCTGTACGTTCTGTCATGTCAATTTCATAGGTTTCTTCCTTTATACGATATATAATGAGTAATCTTACTGAATTCCCAAAAATAAAATGTGCTGCCTTGGCCTTATTTACCTGTCCATTTACACCTGGCTCCTCCCACCACGTTATTGCCTTCCTTATACTCATCACAGTGTTGATTGACATGACTATAGAAAAACACAGGATTATCATAGATCAGCTGAAATATAAACAGAAAACAGAGATTGAAAACACACACAAAAAAATTGTTGAATCAGATTATATTTTGTAGAATAAAACTTAAAATCCTCTACATGTACCTTAGGGCCGAGCAACTAACTCAATATAAATGATACGTTATCAAACAACTTAAACCCGCCAGTCTTCATCTGGAAATGTTGACCTGTGTCCCAAGATGTATTATATGGTTTCTGGATAAAACCAACGAAAAAATTGACCTGAAATCTAAAAGGGTTACGTGTCCGGATAAGTGGTTTTGACGTTCACGTCCCAACGACTCAATATTTTTGAGCTGTAATTTGGAGAAAAGGTAAATACACAGACTTTTATTTTTGAAACTGTTCAAATCGGGACAGTCCCTTTAAGGTTGAAAAAACAACAGAAGTCACTGTGTTGATAAATAAGAAAATAACTTCTGCGTCAATTTACCTCGCAGTCTTTCCAACCACAGATTAAATTCTCAGGAAGTTCAGGTATCCAGTTTCTGCTCTGACCATCAAGAGAACAGGCCTCAGTACCACAAGATGACGTCAGCAGGGCTTTACCCAGACATTTTAAACGAACATGAAAAGCGTGGAAGTAGACGTGACGATTAAAATCACAGTAATTGCCCAAAATCTGCGACTCACATTCTCTCCAATTACACGAAAAACATGTAGCTGAAAATTCAAACAAAATAATTAGCTTCCTAGCTTCATACACCAGGGTGGCAATCAGAACAAATTCATAGAAAAATTTGCAAACTTTCCGAGGCAAAGTATGGCAATATCTTGTAAAATATTCAACATACTCTAATTTACAAGGTCCACAAAAAAATCTTCACTAACTTTTCACTAACAAAATTAACAAACTTGCAAAAGTTGTTGTTTATTACAATTTTAATTTTCAAAATATTAATTATAATATTTTATTTAAATCTAAAATATTTACATGACGGAGGCACAAAAAATATAATAAAAAAGATTGTGTTCTTTCGGCCGTGCATATTTTTATAGTTACCCTTGAAAACTTGTTTTTTCTCATTCAATCGTAGACCTTCTTGACGATGCATTATATAATACAAGGATAGTAAATTAAACTATACAACATATAAGTACAATGTCAAAAAGTGTCCATTGATTTAGTCAAATAGCGATTTTTCGGATCACGGACGGCTATGCATGACACACCCGACACAGAATCAGTGAATAAATCAGTCTACCGGAACTCTCAAAATATATAGTTGGCAATGTTGGCATTATTTATATTTCTGCTTTATTAAAATTTATTTCAATCTGAAAATCAATGATTCCTGTGGAAAATCAAAGTATCGGTATAAACAATTTGTCAAGATGAATAGAAATTGAACAGAAACTGATAATGCTACGGGTGGAAAAGTGAGCGAGAAGTCACGTGACGTAAAGAAAGCTCAGTATCGGCATTTGTAAACTGCGTGGAATGAATACTCAGGAATTTATAACAGTATTTATTCATCATTTTAAGCAATAAAATATCGCATATAACATCAAAAGGAAAACATTTTTTCAATATCATCCAGAAAAATCAAAACCGCGATGGTACGTGTTTTTTTACTATTAATAACCTGTGTCGCGTGAAACTTGAAAGCTATTCGCCAATAACGTATATTTTTGACCGATGTCGGAATTTGTTTGATGGAATATAACAACAGTAATGAAAGGACAGATAGTCGAACACTAAAAGAGGTCAATTATGATACATGTATGTGTATTGTTTTTATTGAATAGGGTAAACTCCTAGCCGATAAAATATAAGATTTTTATCACAATAAAAACAATCAGTTCGGGAAAAAACTGAAGAATTCCGAATGTCTGATGAAGAAATCTGAATACTTGACGCATGCGCAGATGTCACAAAACGCCAGATATGGAAATCGCTTTATTTACAATTTGCAAGGAAGTAAAATAATCAAAAGAATTTTCGTTTTTTGTCATAATTATGGTCTTGATTTTGTGTAGAAGAAATCATGTTATTCAGTAACAATAAGCGAAAAAATGTTACACGCATTTATTTTCGAGTGACATATTTTGCAACACGCTGTCTACAAAATCAACACGCATTTTGCGTGTTTGCGTCCGTCAAATTCGATCCCTGAGTGGAAGTTAAACCCCATTTCCCTCTCTATTAAATCTTTACCTTGTCCCGTTTGTCCTGGTTGATTGGATGATTGTAAGGAGCCGACGTACTCGGTTACATGTTGAGCTATGTGTTTTACAAACAGGGCCATATCCCCTATTTCTTCCTCACATTCACCCCACTCACAGGCATAAACATAATCACACTCCTGTAAGGTACTCGACTGTTTATCACCATCAGTCTTCTTGCCAGATTTCTTTGAACTTGCCATTATAACAGGTGTGTGTATATAGATTACATGTAGGTAGGCCTAACAGGTGAATAACTAGGGCTTGATCCACAACAGGTGAATATAATTAGGCCTAGATCTACAAAAGAGAAACAAAACATATTAACTGAGACAAAGCTAGCAGAGAGCCATGGTAAATAAAAACAAGACATTTTAAGAGTTTTGCAAGGACTGCTTTCCATGTACGAGTCGGTCTAATGCAATGAAATGAAATGGGATTTATAAACGTCCGACTGTCCTGCACCGACTGGGCTTCTAGACACGAGCATCCGCCATACAGTGTGATCATGTTACAAAAATTTTCCCAGATAGCAGCACTAAGTCCTACTGAATTCAAACAGTCAAGGGTAATTTTGCTTGCATGTCAATGTGTACACCAGACCTACGTTTTCTGTTCCATCGCAAAAACTATATGTTGTCTCTTAATGCCAGACCCTCTGTCCGTCCTGCACTACTGACATGGGCTCATGAATCATGCAGCAAAATCCCGACACTCTCTCTCAGCCAACACTGGGATCGAACATTGGAACTCAAGGTTAGCGATCCAGCATCTTCTTACTCACTGAGTCACAGTAGTCTAAATATGGGATACAGTTTCCATGCAGGTCATGTGAACTATTTTTATAGCAAGAAAGGTTAGATCTCTATCTAAATATTACATGGATCAGGGCTTTATTTTTCACGTCCACGAAAATATGCACTCGCCAAAATATGATAAATCTACTATTTTTCAAGTCCAAATATACACTCCGAACCCACTACGATTACAATACGGTATCCAATGACAACGGCCATGTCACCATGTTTATACTGATGTGGAGTCTCAATTATTTAGTTGCTAAAATATCATTGAAAAAATATCATTTGCTTGTTTTGAGAAAAGGTTTCACAAACCCAAATTAGCTGGAAAGAATAATCCCTTCTTTTTTTATTTAAACATACATAATGCAAGAGCTAAATCTGCCCATTGCAGGTCTTTCTTTAGGCCTGAAATGTTTTCTAAATTATTAATTAGATATTAATTAACTTATCCAAGCCATAATCAACTCTCGATGGCATCGGATTTCTCCAATATTAAATAGATTAAAACAGTTCAGCCATATTTTGATTTAACCTAAAAATGGAGGAGCGAGACTTATCTTCGAACAACCAGTAGGCCTATGGTGGTTGAAATTACTACACACGTCTTGTCAAACCTTCAAATAGTTCAAAGGCTAATATCTTCGCTCGCAATAGAGTAATTTGAATGAAATTTTCAAATTATTAATTTTACATTATCTATTTTCGAACTATTTATAGCAAGAATGGCTAGCTCTTTATCTAAATCTTACATAATGTATCTTTAATGATAATCTACACATTTTTGTACAATGAGTCAATGACAGAGGAAACACCGGAGTGTCATTCAGTTGTCAGTGTTAGATTTAATGAATTAATAGCAAATATCTTTATCATATGCAGCAGAATGAATTTATAGGCCTATATGAAGCTTTGTTACATCATGGATCTTTAATTTTTACAAACAAAAATGAATCTGCGCAGAGTAACAGAGCTTGTTCTATCAGCATTAAAGGAAATACATGTACTGAATTGTGTAGAAAATATCAGATCACATCAACCTCGATAATAATACTGCTGCTGAGTGCTTGGTTTGACGTTTATTTTGGGTATTTTTGTGAATCTTATGAAAAAGAAAAATAATACAAATGCACATTTCATGTGACCAGAACGACAAAAATAAACAAAAATGCATAATTATTGAGTTTTCAACCTTTAGTTTCACGGAAATTTACAAATAACTACGTCTACTTCGGATTATGGCGCTAAAACGAATGCAAGGCGCATGCGGAGACAAACACAAAACAATATCCGGTTTTAAAATAACAACAAGCTCAGGACATCCAGGCACTTGGATCTAAGTTGACAAGAAAGTACTCCCCTCTTTCCCGAGTAATGTTATGGAGTCAACTGATTCACAAACCGTGCATCTGAAACGACACGCATGTTGCCTTTCTTCATTTTGTTATTATTTTTTTTTTTCATATCCTAATTTTATGACAGAATTTTGTCGACAATGAGGTTAAAACACCAACGACGTCGACAGTCAGGTTCCAACATTTGTAGCTATTTATAGACTACGTGTGGGAAAACCCAGTCATTGATTATACCAGCCATACTTCCTGCTCTGATCGAGATAGATTATTTTGGACAAAAGAAATCGGTAAACAGACTTTTTAGAGATTTAGGGAATCGTATTTGATTTCGTAAGACCTATTTTTATTTTGAGGTGACGTATTTGAATTCTAATTCCCGAGAATTATTCTAGATCTGGGTCTACAAGGTCCATGCCAATACCAGCTCCGCAGTTTACTAGATTTACGGAGACCTAGTCTCGATTATTAGTCTCTCGCTGTGTGTGTGTGTGTGTGCTTCGATATCGCCACCGTCTCTGAACCAAACCCAAACTCAGCCATAGACATTGGAAAGTGGTCAGATGTCATTTCGTTCATTTAGAAAGTAAAATGAACTTGTTTTAATTCAACCCAGGATGGAGAATTTTTACATGTATTCTGCGCCCACATTGTATGTTTGCTTTATTGAATTACGTGTGATCTGTTATTTCGCATGTTTACCGTAGGCTATATCAGATCCCTCTTAATGGGACCCCATGTTAGACTTTATGAAGGTGCCTTTGCCTTGAGGTGGCAGTACGATCCCCACTCTTTATTTCGAATTCCAACTGCGGGGCATGCTGATCGACAATTATGGTATGCCTACGGAGCCTCGGGGTTTCCCTTACCCTACCCTACACCACTGACAATGATATGCCCACGGAACCCCGGTGTTTCCCTTATCCTGCCCTACACCACTGACAATGATATGCTCACGGAACCTCGAGGATACTGTCATCACCACTAACAATGGAATCCCTGGCTGGAAAATTCCGAGGGACCTTTTAGGCTGGCTGTATACTGGGATCGAACCCGGAATCACCTGATTTTTGCGAGTTATATCATATCCAGAAAACACTGATCTACTTAAAGGAGCTCAACCTATATTATACATAATACACTAATTTAAAAACACGAATTAGAATTCAATATTGGTCACGGAACATAATTGATTAGAAATTACAATAAAAAAAACTTAAAAATTGAAGGTAATTCGCTTTAATTATACCATTCTAAAAAAGTAGGGGATATTTGATTTTGGGGGCATAATACTAAAATATGCAAATGACTACGAAAAAAGTCACTATAGAACCTAACAGAAGAAACATTTCCAGTTACATGTGACGCCCAAACGCACCAATAGCTACCGCATGGAATGCAGGTGATGCTTGGGATCATCATGGGGGTCCAACCCAAGATTTGCACGACTCTGACTTTGAATGTTACAGTCATTGTGGCATTGAATTCCAGGGTGGAAACATCAGTTTAATTGTTTTAGTGACCAGAAAACAAATTTTGATATGCGTCGGCTTACCCAAAATGAAAGGTTACGTGCCCTTGGCATGCTACAGATCGGCACAACACAGGCGGTTGTGGCGCGGACGATGAATGTTTCTCAGTCTGTCATAAGCAGGCTATGGTCCAGATACCGTGATACACAATCTGTACAGGACAGACCACGCTCAGGTCGACCAAGGGCGACAACTCAAGCCCAGGGTCGATTTATCCGTACCTTGGCCTTGAGAAATCGTGTCATCACAGCAAATCAGATCAGCGCTCGTCTTCAAACAGACACTGGTGTGAGAGTGAGTGGCCAGACGATTCGGAATCGACTGCATAGGGGTCACCTTCGCGCCCGACGTCCTCGCGTGATCCCTTGTTTGAGAGATCATCACATTCAAGCAAGACGTCGTTGGTGTAGGGATCGTCAACACTGGGATAATCGACGCCGGAGCAATGTGATGTTTTCAGATGAGTCAAGGTTCACTGTTGATTTTTTGGACAGACGTAGGAGGGTGTGGCGTCGTCGAAACGAGCGCTTCCAAGACGTTAACGTCATCAGACATGATCGATTTGGGGGTGGTTCTGTTATGGTGTGGGGAGGCATCACTGTTGCTGGAAGAACGGCTTTACATGTTGTTGCAGGGCGTGTTACAGGCCAGTACTACCGGGACAACATCTTGGCAGTCCATGTTGTGCCGTTCGCACGACGTCATGGCCGCCGTTTCATCTTCCAGGATGACAACGCAAGATGTCACAGGGCCAGGATCGTTACAGGTTACCTCCAACAACAGAACATCACCACATTACCTTGGCCAGCACTGATTCCCGACCTCTCCCCCATCGAGCATGTCTGGGACATGTTTGGACAGAGGTTACGTCAACGTCAACAACGTCCTGCCAATGTCCAAGAACTTGCTGCTGCGTTGCAACAGGAATGGGACAACCTGGACCAAAATGACCTTAGACGTCTCATTAGGAGTATGCCACGTCGGATCAATGCTTGTTTGGCAAACATGTAACAATATATTTCCACAATGGAAATCAAATCACCTTTATTTCAACACTATCTATTAGTAAGTACAGGGGAACTGCGCCACTCATAATTTACACAAAAACAAATCTACGGACAAGATACAATATGCAGAAATCCAAAACAAACGAACATATGAAATTAAGCGAATGGATCCGGAGGGGCTAGCCGAAAGCGTCCACTGCGCTGTGCTGCTAAACCCCCTACGCGCAAGCGAATTATTGAAATAAAATTAAACCATATGTTAGTCCCAAAATGATCTAGTTTGTGTCGAGTGGACGTTAAACCCCATTTCTCTCTCTCACTTTCAAGACAAAAGGCCGTTGGCATTGATCATTTGAACTTCACGTGATGTGAGCTCACCGGCTTCACTCGAACTCGTTGGAAACTACTTCCTAAATTGCTGGAAACTCCTTAGCTGAAGTCTGCATTCACTGCATTTTAGGTGACTGACCTTTGTTGTGGAGAGCGGGGGTTCGATCTGTTACTGATTATTATTCTTCAACGTAAAAGTAAACTTGACTTTGAATATTTCAGTGAGGTTTTATAACAACAGGAACACTCTATAACACCTGTAACAATGGCTGAGGCAGTAGCAGATGATGACGAAGTATGGACAAACGTTATTGATGAAACCATTAACGTCAATGTAGATAGGCTTTATCATCTTGTATTTGACGACGACTCCAGGTTTTTTAAGGATTTTTTCCAGGGGAGAAATATAACAGGTAGGTGAATGTGTTATTATTTATAAGTTGTCGTGACGCGGGGGTTTAACGTACACTTGTCAATATGAGTAGATCTTTTCAGGGCTAACATACAAGACTGCAATCTTGAGTGCAAACATGCGACGTTATTTCATGTACCGTTGTTACCATAATAAACCATCTACGTTAGAAAGAGAAAAATGGGGTTTAACGTCCACTCGACACAGACTAGGTCATTTCGGGACTAACATGGTTTTTAATTTTATTTCAATAATTTGCTTGCGCGTATGGGTCGTTAGCTGTGGGAGGAAACCGGAGGACCCGGACAAAACCCACGAGGTTGGACAGGCGACCTTACATCTTGTCATGTACAACCGGGGATTCGGAACCATGCCAGTTGACTCAATGAGAGACCGTATGATACAGCGCGCACGTGCTAACCATTCGGCCATCCAAGCCCCCCAATCTACTTTAGATCTTAAAACACTTTTAATTTCGTACTGAATAAAGTAATTGGGATGTTACTTTAATGTATTCATTTTACCTGATCTATTTTTGAACTGGTATAGAAAGAACGGTCGTCTCTTTATCTAAATCTTACATAATCCATCTTTAATGTTTTCACGTGGTTGTTTTCCCGCAATTTGTCACCAAATAGTCTTACCTCAAGCAGTCGGACATTAAAATATTCTAACTAGTTTGCAGTTCTTTGGGGGTTGGATGGCCGAATGGTTAGCGCGTTGCATCATAAGGTCTGTCATTGAGTCAACTACCGTGTTTTCGATTTCCCGGCTGTACGTGACAAGGAGTAGGGTCGCCTGTCCAACCTCGTGGGTTTTCTCCGCTTCCTCCGGTTTCCTCCCACTGCTAAAAAAAAAACCTACGAGTAAGCGAATTTTTTAAATAAAATTGAACCATATGTTAGTCCCGAAATGACCCAGTTTGTGTAGAGTGGACTTTAAAACCCCATTTCTCTCTCTCTCTCTCCAATGTTTCGTGTTTTTGTTCTGCAGTGTAAAGAGCCATATACAACGTAGCTTTCCCACCAATTCCAAGACACCGTTCACTGATCTAATAATAAACTTACTGTCAAAGTCTCGTGCAAAGCTCAGATGACGTCAGTCAAAGAAACGACAGGTGCCCTGAATGGATGTAACACGAACCGAAATACAGATATAATTTTAATTAGATTGTTTTTGTCTTATCCCAATTCAACAAGCCCATCTGCAATTCTGATTGTGTAAAATGTTAGCAGCCCTTTTGATAATTACTTTCGGAAGGGTTTTTGAAGGAACGATGTTCTCTGACCGTCCCTGCCCTATTAAGCGGCAATATGAAAATATCACTCTATTCCTACCTTCTATTTTCCACCGAAATTCTTGTTCGCCAAAAGAAATCATTTATAGTAATCCAACGTTATTTTCAAGTAGAATTTTGCGATTCAAAAATATTAATTATATTTTGCAACTTAATAAGGACGGATAGAGACCGTCCCTAAAGGGATTTTCTGGTGTGGTTTCCCCTTGTCACTGGTGCAGCACGGCGGATCTGACAAGGACAGCTATCTAGTCGTTCAGATGGGACGAAAAACCGAGGTTCCGTGTACACATTGACGTGCACGTTAAAGATCCTTTGGCAGTTAAGAGTAGGCCATAGTGCATTGTATGGCATATGCCCGTCTTCATTAGCCAAGTATAGGAGCAGAACAGTAGGACCGTAAACCCTATTTCATTTCATTTCCGTCCCTAAAGGATCTACCAAAACAATTTTACAGTTAAAGGAGCTAAATCGCTAATATTTGGGACCTAGAAATTGACCCAAATGGGTCGCAACACATATAATAATGTAATCTGAGTGTATATAAACTGATTTACATTCAATTGTTTCCGTTTTGACTCTTAATTTCAAATCAGTTATGTCCAGCGAAATACGGCCTGTGTCTCAACCCTATAGCAATTTCTAGCGTCTAGTTATTCCAGTCTATTGAGCAGGTGGGTTCGCCAGTTGAATATGTGTAGCCCCGTTCTTTCTGGTCACTTGTTGCAAATGACGCTAAAACGCACTATGGTACACGATTCGTGTACCAATGGTAAAATGTTTATTCTGTCTTAAACATAGGATATCAGAAGCCTGTCTTTTCCTGGTAAGATCACAACATCAATGTTGATTTGAATTGACAAATAATTCGTATTTTCAACGTGTATGACTTTGGATGATATTGAGTTAGAGACTTCGCTACTTTAAATTAGAACTTTTCAAACCAAAAAGGTAGAATTTTGTTGTTTCTGATGTTTTTTATTTTTGTAATACAGATTTAGTTATAAGTAATTGGCAGAATGCAGAGGTCGGAGATTCAGAGCAGCAACGTGTGTTAACATATACCGTCCATCCAAATCGGATGTTTGCACCTGCAGATATACCCAGCACAGAAACTCAGGTAATTAACCCAAAATTCACAGATATACCTCTAGCACAGAAACCCAGTTAATTAACTCAATTCATAGACAAATCTAGCACAGAAACCCAAGTAATTCACTCAATTTACAGAAATACCTCTAGCACAGAAACCCGGGTAATTCATTCAATTCAAAGAAATAACTAGCACAGAAACCCGAGTAATTAACTCAATCCACCGAACAGAAACCCGCGTCACCCAATTCACAGAAATACCCAGCACAGAAACCCGGGTAACTCCATTTACAGAAATACCTCTGGCACAGACAATCGGGTAATTCACGCAATTCACAGAAATACCTCTAGCACAGAAACCCTAGTAATTAACTCAATACACAGCACAGAAACCCGCGTCACTCAATTCACAGAAATAACTAGCACAGAAACTCGGGTCACTCCATTTACAGAAATACCCAGCACAGAAACTAAGGTAATCCACAGAAACTCGGTAAAGTAACTCAATTCACATAAATACCCAGCACAGAAATTCGGGTAATTAACGTAACGTAACAATATTTTATTAGTGATAACAGAGATCAGTTTTGTAAATATATGATTTATTTACATCACGAACAGAATATGAAACATCTACATAAATAAAACAGGAACACAACTTACACAGGAACTAAACTACACCAGGAAACAATAACATTAACACGGTACATTAATAGACAACCATTCCGCCCTGTTGTCACGGCAGTGGCTGAACTCGTGTGAGTCCATAAGCCAGTCTCTGCTTCTCTCTTCCTGCCGTCTCCTCCTTCGTCTTTCTAACTGTCAGCAAGCTTATGGCCATACACCTTTCAACATTCGTTACAGTTGATAGTCGTTTAAGGAATTGAGTCTTACAACACAAAGTGATTATCATATATTAGCTGGTGACCACGTTGTACACATATCATATGGAATTGATTAGGATCTTAATTACATACAATATCATATAGTATCAAAATAAGTTCAGGAACTTTGTCAATTCACAGAAACTCATATAAAACAATAACACTAGCTGATAAACTATATTTATCACACAATAACACATTCTACTCTACAGTAGATATCGCTTGTGTGATAAATTTCATAATCCACTGCCATTTGACTGGTCAATTAAAAAGGAACTACTTTTTTTCAATTTCAAAGAACAATTCATTTTTTTTATTAAAAGTAACTTTTTTTTTATTAAAATGGAACTAGTTTTATTTAATTGACATTGATGGAAACCTTTTTTTTTTTAACTTTATCGACATTTGTAGATATTTTTTGATATAAAACTTTAATGGCTTCTGATTTAAACTCTTAATTAGTTTATTGTTATCCACTTGTATATAACCTTATGTAACATGTTTGATTATATCATTGCTTGATAACGGTGAGAATATCTTCATTGAAACGTTGCAGTTAATAAATCTAGTGAATGTTATCCATAAAGTTGTCTGTTTATTATAACGAAAGACGAGTAGGTGATTCTCTAACACAGCAACAGAAGCTAAAAAAATACTAAAACTGATAGATAATTGATGGAAGTTGGCCGTCAGTTTGGTCTGCAGTCAGGTCTGCAGTTTTCCGTTTAGCATATTGATAGGTTCTATTATTTTTGAAAAGCAGAAAATCGCAACGTTGAGACACTTTGGAGACGGTTATCAGATGAAATCCGGTGGAAAAGAAAGTTCGAGCTTTTGTTCAACGGTTCCGGTGGGGTTTGCCCTTGTCATTGGTGTAAAGCGGAGGGTCTGGCGAAAAACAGAGGTCTCGTGTTTACATTGGCGTGCACGTACAATAAATCAGGTCATTTCGGGACTAACATATGGTTCAATTTTATTTCAATAATTTACTTGCGTGTAGGGGCCTTTAGCAATGGGAGGAAACCGGAAGAACCGGGGAAAATCCAGGAGGTTGGACAAGCAACCCTACTTCTTGTCACGTACAACCGGGGAATTGGAACCACGCCATTTGACTCAATGACTCACTTTATGATACAGCACGCACACGCCAACTATTCGACCATCCACCCTCTCCCCCTATAAGATACGTTACATTAGCCCAGGCGGGAGTTGGGATGGCCTAGTGGTCTAGAGTGCCGCGCTTCGACCTCTAGCTGGCCGGTCACCTCTGGCTTGTCGCTGTGGTTTCGATACTGGGTGTGAGCGCATGTGGCTTGGAGATAGGGACGCCGTCTCAACTTCGTGGGTTTACTCCGGGTACTCCGGTTTTCTCCCAAAGGAAAGACCCCTGCGTGTGCAGACTTGTCTGCGATATCACCTTCGGTGGAAGCGGACATTAAACACTAAGAACAACCAGTCGGTGTAGAAAAGTGGGACGTTAAACTCCATTTCATTTCATTTTTTATTTTGTTTTACAAGATGTCTCAGCTAGTTGTGTATTATCCGTTTATCTTCATTTCAGATTTCCTGTCAAATATCAAATGATGAGTTCCAGAAACAGTATATTATTAATGCAAAAACAATCACCGTGGGTCATCGTTACGCCGATTCCTTCCATGTTTTGATTCGGTACGAACTATCAAAGATCTCCCCAGATCAATGTCGTATGGCTGTTAAAGCTAAAATTATCTTCACGCAGGATGTAATGGTGAAAGGTTTGTATAACCCACGGTTTGAATAATCTGATTAAAACACACATCCTATTTCGTTTCGTTTTTTATAGTTCAAAATGTCGTTTTGCTTGTCTTTACTAGGATCTGGAAGAGTTGTTATATTATCGGCGTTTTGGTTGAAGGGGCGGATAAGCCAACGAAACAGTCTGTTACGGCGACTTCTTGATGTGCTATGCACGGAACTGTAGGTAAACCACTAGAAACGCCAACGCTGATTGATTAAATCAATGTCTGACGTCACAAGGTCAAAAGCCGCTCGTACGACCCCTGACACGACCTTATAGTAATCTGATCTTCATGTAGTGTAAGCCATCGAAAGTATAAAAAATGAAACGAAACGAAATATAATCTGTATTTTAATCAGATTTCGGTTTGAAAGATTTATTTGAACAAGTACGACTTCAAATCGTGACGTCAAATCAAACATCGAAGCCCATCCATCGATGCACTATTGTTCAACGAACAAACGTCACAAATTTAAAAAAAATTCCTGATGTTAAAACGAAACTAGCCAAATGGTCGGTCAAATCTAAATATTAAGGTCACCTCTAGATTTTGTCAAGGCCACGAGATGTAAACAGGGCTATAGGACAAGGGATCATATTGTTGCCCAGGATTGTGGGGTTGGGTTAGGGTTTCGGTTAGGATCAGGGTTAACGCTTGTCCTATTTATATCTCGTAACTTTGACGAAATCTGGAGATGGCCTTAATATTTAGATCTAACAAAAAATGCTCCGCCAATTCAAGTTCCATCGACACCCGACTTAAAATACCACACTGATCAGCTGTGAATTTTCGCTAGGCCGCTACAATCACTGACAAGGATGGCATCGAGGCGACTTAATGAGCCAGAAATTTTAAATTTTTTCCTGCGACAAATTAAATTCTAAAACATTTTTTTTTATGTATTGGAAAAAAAAATAACGGTGTTTGACGTATTTGTAGGTAAAGATTATTTCCTATTTAGTGTAAATGGGTACTAAAATGACTAAAAGGCAGCATTCCGCCCGAAGCAGTAACGTCTTATGTAAACAATGCTTACGTGTATTAGAAATACTTGTTTCGTTTTACAGGACTGGGGGCCTGAAAAGGACAGCTGTTTAGTCGTTTAGAGGGACGAAAAATCGAAGTCCCGTGTACACTTACACATTGGCGTGCAGGTAAAGATCCCTTGGCAGTTGGAATTCGATATAAGAGTAGACCGTTGTGCCGCTGCCCGGGCAACATTTCCCTCATAGCACACGGTATGGCGTATGCCCGTCTTCATTAGCCCGGTTGGAACATAACAGTAGGACGTTAAACCCCATTTCATTTTTTGTTTCGTTTAACGGCCTACTTTTCTGCACCGACTGGACTAATGAAGGTCAATAAACGCCACACAGTGTGCTCTGAGTGAAACTTAGCCCGGGCAGCTACAGAAAGGGTTATTCTTATTTCAAATTCTATCTACCAATGTGTCCACGGGACCATGATCTTTCGTCCCATCCAAACGACTAGACATTATCACACCGGAGGATATTTCTCGGTCATCACTGGTAGCGAATCACCGCGGCGCCCAGACTGGAGACCAGTCAATCTATTCGGATGTTTAAACCGTAGATAAGACGTCACCGCTTCTCGCCGGTAAGACGTCCCCAATTCTCCCAGGTAAGACGTCCCCGATTCTCCCAGGTAAGACGTAGCCTCGGCTCCCAGTAAGACGTCCCCGATTCTCCCAGGTAAGACGTCCATACTTTATTTCTGCAATAAACCATGCTGTTTATTAATTACAGGAACAATAACAAGTGCAACTTTAGACGATTTACTCAAATATTTTACACATTTAGGTAAGATTAAATATTTTACACATTTAGATAAGATTACATAATATATCAATTTGTGATTAACATATGATTTATTTTTATTCGTGGCCACGTGCCGCGCCAGGAAGGAGATTGTCAAAAATTTAAATTCCCTGAAAGGTAATATGTTCGACCCAAATCGCATGGTCACAGGTCACTAATGATTTCCCCATTGACTTTAATGTTAATTCTCGTCTCTTAGACTGGATCTAACGTTTTTCCCAAATAATCGTTATCTTATAACACGTGATGTTTACTTTAATAACATTTGATGTTTACTTTAATAACATGTGATGTTTACTTTAATAACATGTGATGTTTACTTTAATCAAACACGAATATTATTTGCATATTAATTTTGGCCACCTTTTACCCAAAAACACGTGTGAGGTTTACCATGGAAAACTTGAGATACACAAACTGGAAGTAGTGACAAGTAAACATGCAATTTTCGGTCCTACATTTCAACCTAACCAACCTCTCAACTTTTGTATCCTTCCGCCTCAAAATCCTAAATATTCACCAAAACCTGGCAGAAAATGTATTTTCAACCCTTTTTCTTCGATTCCACACCAAACAGTTAACAAAGATCGCCATGCAAGAAGAGGAAAAGGGAAAGAGAGAGAGAGAGAGATGGGGTTTAACGTCCACTCGACACAAACTAGGTCATTTCGGGACTAACATATGGTTTAATTTTATTTCAATAATTCGCTTGCGCGTAGGGGTCTTTAGCAGTGGGAGGAAACCGGGGGACCCGGAGAAAACCCACGAGGTTGGACAGGCGACCCTACCCCTTGTCACGTACAACCGGGGAGGAAAAGGGAAAGGGAGAGAAAGACTAAAAATAACTTTCTCCCTAGGAATAATGGTGAGCTGTGTCCTTTATATTAGGCTGTACTCCAAAGTAGTACATACGTGATTTCTAAATATGGCCGGCGGGTTTGCATGGCCGAAAGGTTAGCACGTGCGTGTTATATCATAAGGTCTGTCATTGAGTCAACTGGTCGTCTGCCCAACCTCGTTAGTTTTTCTCCGGGTCCTCTGCGGGTCCCCCGGTTTCTTCCCAGTGCTAAAAACCATACGCGCAAGCGAATTATTAAAATAAAATTGAACCATATGTTAGTCACGAATAGACCTAGTTTATGTCGAGTTGACGTTACCCCCCCCCCCCCCACTCTCTCTATCTCTCTCTATCTCTCTCCTGGCCATTCTTGATTAGGTGTTAAAGGGAGACAATCACTGTTCACCTGAATTCTGTAGACCAGTTGTTGTATACTCTTGTCACTATTTTAGCTACAGCATGTAAACAGAAACTCACAGATCAAAATAGAGCCGTCCCTTTACAACGACAGAGACAGAGAATAATAGAACCATTTTATCAAAGTAAGTGTTTAATTTTATTCAATTTCGGTTCGCCTTTTAACAAAGTTGCCTTGTTATTAAGGTGAGGTTCTCGTGTTCGAGTTATATCAAAGTAAAAATTATTTTAAGAATGCATTCATGTTATATTAAAGTTAGTTTCTCGCTTTAAGAAAATAAAAAAATTAATATGCAAATAATATTCGTGTGTGATTAAAGTAAACATCACATGTTATTAAAGTAAACATCACATGTTATTAAAGTAAACATCAAATGTTATTAAAGTAAACATCACGTGTTATAAGATAACGATTACTGCTTTAGGAAAAGTAAAAACCGTGTTTATCAAAGTATTATTCATGTTTCATAAAAGTAAAGTGATGCGGTTTTTTTATCAAGTCAAATTCACTTTGATATCAATTTAAAGTTTAGACGCAAACGTTTTATGAAGGTAGACTTTATGTCCGTATCGAACTGAACATGTATCAGGTAAGAACCAATTCTGCCTAATGCAGGTCTTTAGTTTGGCCTTAAATGTTATATAAATCATAAGTCGTATATTTACATATCATGGTTATAATCTACACTCTAGAACCTCGGATGGTTGATTTTCAACAGATTTAAATACGATCATGGTATTTAATAATTTAATTAAAAATTTGATCATCGAGACTTTGTTTATTCTTGTAACAATGGTAGGAATGATAACCGAGACTACATTGAGCTCAAGGTGGCAAAGTGGGTAAGACGTTGGTTTGCTAGACTGGAGTTTTGGTATTCGATCCCTGCATTGGCCGAGAAAGTTCATCCAGATTTTCCGGCCTGGTTCTGCCGTGTCAGTGATGTAGGACGGAGGGTCTGGCAAGGACAGCTGTCTAGTCGTTCGGATGGGACGGAAAAACCGAGGTCCCGTGTACACATTGGCGTACACGTAAAAGATTCCTTGACAGATGGAATTCGATATAAGAGTAGGCCGTAGTGCCACTGCCCGGGCAAAATGTCCCTCATAGCAACCTGTATGACGTATGCGCGTTTTCATTAACCAAGTTCGGAGTAGAACAGTAGGACGTTAAACCCCATTTTATTTCAGTTTCCTCCCACTTCTAAAGACACCTACCCTCAAGCGAATTATTGAAGTAAAATTGAACCATATGTTAGTCCTGAAATGACCTAGTTTGTGTCGAGTGGGCGCCAAACTCTTCATTAAAGATAAACCTTGTGGGTTTCCTCCAATCTCCCTCTCTCTCTCTCTGATTGCCAAATACGAACAGTCGTATTAACTTTAAATTCTCTCCCGCGTCCCCTCCCTGGTATTTATTTATATATTTAAATAGTTTTATTTATATTCTTTAAATCATTCAGTATATAGTATTGTAAATCTTGTTTTTATTGTTGACAGGTTTATTACGAAAGGCTTGGTTCAAGATTCTTATTCGTTCCATATTTATTTGGTAAGATAGTTTTAATCTGTAATGTACACAACATTCTATAGTTATAATATCAAACATGATTTATAAAGGGGTTGGATTTCAATACAGAATTGGCACCCATGTTTAATGACAACCACAGAGGGGCTCCAGTACCCGAGTATGCACCAAATATGGCGTTATTCCTGAATATATAATCAAACAGACGATATTGTATAGTGACATTCTTTATGAACGGAATTAAACTGAAACTGTTTTATATTAGTCAAGTTCAAATGAAACTGGTTTTGCACGGACTGGGCTCAACTGAAATCGGTTTTATATGGGCGTACTCGATTGAACGTTCCGGAATTGAATTCTCTCAATCCCGAAAATAGTGACAATCGAGTGAAAATTGGTACTTCGGGCTACAACGCATGCGTCGACTGGATATATAAATATCTCATCCAACCATGCAGCCGAAACCCGTTCGTCGTGTTTAATTACGTCACAATTCTACTCACACCACCTCCATTGTCGGGACTGACAGAACTATGACAGGACTGAATTCCGCGTCACTCGATTGAAATTCTGTCAATTCGGGACGTTCCGGACTGTGAATCGTGCATCCCCTATGAGTCGAGTTGAACTGAAACCGGTTTATATGTGTCACGTTCAAATAAAACCGGTTTTGTACGGACTGAGTTCAAATGAAACCGGTTTTAATATGAGTCAAGTTCAATTGAAACTGGCCTTACATGAGTCAAGTTCAAACGAAACCGGTTTTGTACGGGATGAGTTCAATTGAAACCAGTTTTATATGAGTCGAGTTCAACTGAAACTGGTTTTATATTTTTGTTTCAGGATTATAGCTTGGTTATCATACAGACTCGTATACCCGTAGATACTGACGTCATCATCAAATAACAAGTTCATGCATATACAGACGGATTGTTTACTTGAAGAGGCTATCATTATGACGTCATCATTAAATAACAAGTTCGTGCATATACAGACGGATTGTTTACTCGAAGAGGTTATCATTATGACGTCATCATTAAATAACAGGTTCGTGCATATACAGGCGGATTGTTTACTCGAAGAGGTTATCATTATGACGTCATCATTAAATAACAGGTTCGTGCATATACAGGCGGATAGTTCACTCGAAGAGTTTGTCGTTATGACGTTGTATTATGTTATGCAACGCCATCTATTTCTATGCTTCATGAATAACACAGCTGTATTCACGTGTACGCTTAAACACCTTTAAAGTGCCAATCAACATTTCAGTTCCGGTTGTGGATTGTAGTTTCGGTTCTTGACTTTAGTTCCCGTTCTATATCTGCTGTTTCTTGAAGATCCCAACATGTTTTCTTTATAGCCATACAAAACAAAGTATTATTTATTTTCAAACAAAATAATTTAATTACTAATAGGACATGCAACATGTTATATAGTTATTTATTCCGGAGTAAAATGGACGTACAATAGATTAGGCCGTCTTCAGTTTTATAATTGTGTGTAAAACATGATATTTGTGAAAGTTGAACGATCGTAATCGTTGCCGAAAGTTCCAAACTGGTTAAAATACAGATTTAAATACCGTTTTTATATATTCGATGGCATTTTCCTGCATTTTTGGGTTGAGTTTTTGGTCTAGAATTGGAGAAAAGGGATCAAGGTTGCAATGTCATAGCAGTTTTGGGTGATACAGATGAGGGATAAGGGGTGTAAAGTATCTTTGTGCAGAGCAATCATTGTGAGATTTACACCCCAGTCAACATCATATTCCCGTAGGAAAAAATCTAAACGGTCAACCCCGTACAAAATTATGATGAGGGGATTGACAAATGTGGTCCCCATTGTGCCTATAAAGATTGGAACCAACGGCATGTTGAGCAAAACGCTACAGCCTGTGATGTTATAGCCATTTAACATTGAAGTCAATGGGCAAATAATTGCTAGTCTGAGACCAAGCGGACTTGGAGGCAGACCACCATTAATTTCTCCATTGACTCCAATGTTAAATCAGTGGTGTTCTACATGCTGTAGCCCATTCCCTAAATTTCGTTGAGAACTTCGCTTTACAGCACAGCAAGTATGACATCATGGGATCATCAGAGTACTAAATTTGTATGAGGTTGACCACCAAAATTTCAATTCACTGAAATTCATAGCAGACTGGGGTCAGAATATCATGTCCGTGTTAGTGCAAAAACAAAACAAAGCCTCTTTACTCCTTGTAGTCTTCCGCCTTAAAAATCTCAATCTGACACCAAACCAGGCAGAAAATAGAAATTCAATGCCTCTTCATCAATTCTACACCAAAAAGTCAATAGAGATAAGCATGCAAAATGGCAGGAAAGGAGGGAGTAAAATATATCTAAAAATAGCCGGCACTACCATTACCGAGATATGGAAAATTAATGGTGGTCTGCCTCCACTTACACTGCTTAAAAGTTGTCTCCCGTAGTTCCGCGCACACCTCACATTTTGATTGGCTAATCTCTCACATGAAACGGAACGCGGTTCATTGAAAAGCCTTTTCATATCACTGTCTGCGATATCACCTCGGTGGAAGCGGACGTAAAATACAACTAACCCATCATCAACTGTCTGGGCGTATATTTATGTAGTGGATAGTCAAATTATGTGTTCTACAGCAGCTAGGAACATAAGCGTTATAATCGACAGAATTTGAACATGGAAGCACAAGTAAATAATATTTGTAATGTGTGTTACTGTTATTTAAAAACAAAATCGGTTAAAAAAGGAAATACATTAATAATGATGCAAATAAAACTTTAATTAATTCATATGTTACCTCTAGACTAGATAATTTCAATTCCTTGTTATCTGGACTTCCTTTTACAGTAATTTATAAAACTCCAAAAAGTACAAAATTGTGCAGCTAGTCTAATAACACAAAGCAGTCATCTCATATTACTCCAATATTGTACAGCCTTCACTGGTTACCGATTCAATATAGAATTAAGTTTAAAATTCTGCTTCTTACATACAAATATCTCAACAACCTCTGTCCTGCATATTTGTATACCCCTAAACGCAACCTCCGCTCTTCCTCGAGTTCATGTCTTCTTGTTACACGCAATGCATATTTAAGTTCATTTGGTGACCGTTCATTTTATGTACAAGCTCAAGCCCCCCCCCCCCCCCCCGTTTCCCCATCACCCTGGAACAAATCAAATTACCACTATATATTCTATGTATTAAAACATGTTCATCAAGGCCTACTTTTATAAAATACATAAAGAAGTTTTTATGTAATCATTTAAATGTAAGTTTTATATATTGTTTATAACCGGTTAAATACCTGGGCCCTGTTTCTCAAAATATTAACTATATAGATAAAATACAATTTTAGTAGATACTTAAATTTTGATTGGCTAAGCACTAAAATCAATCTAATATTATCCAATCAATTTACTGAAATTTGTATTTTATCTTAGTTGAAATTTCGTTAAACAGGCCCCTGTTTATAACTTTTTTTTATCTTAAATGTACGCTACGTATAGTTATTGTTTTATTTACATATATTCTGTGTACTATATTTTATGACATTTTATGCTGGTTGTTATTTTTACATTGTTGTCTAATTTTTTTACTCTAACCTTTTTATTTATATGTACTTTTTATTTATTTAGCTGTTAATTGTGTAGAGGGTATATGGATAGCTAACAGTGACAGCTATGCACTATATAAATTTTTCAATAATAATATGGCTTGGTGATAAGAGCACCTAATCAACATTGTGAATTTACCCCCGTTTCCTCCTACAGAAAAGACCTCTGTCCATGCCCCGGGAATATATTAAAATTAAACCACTTGTCTGGGATGTCACCCACGATAGAAGCGGTCGTTAAGCCCTAAGAACAAACCCCATTGCCACTAAAAGACAAAAAAAAGATATATGAACAATAAAAATAACGAAGCGAAGTAGGATCTGTGTTTGGTTCAGATGTTGTTAACATATTCACACGAGAGCAGTATGTAAACAATTTTAATATCCTGCCAAATTCTGTCACAAGGTTGTACATTTCGTGTCACACTCACACGCCTGTCCATTTTGTGTCACACCCCTGTCCATTTCGTGTCACACGCTTGTCTATTTCGTGTCACACACTTGTCCATTTGTTTAAAATAAAATTATGATCTGATTAATAAGACGTGCTTTTTCTTTATACACAGAGGCTGACTAACTCTGGGTCCTCGGACCAGTTGTTTTGATTTGGGCCCCATCACGGCGAAAAATAAATCATTTTTCTCCGCGGATTTCGACCACTATATTTGCAGTGGATGGGAAGATGAATTTTATTTATTTTTAAAAAAAGATATGTGTGAAAACAAATCAGCGGTCTGATCGAACTCTTTAATTGTATGCCCCCCAAGTCTCAAATATAGGGCCTGGTACTAACAAATGGGAGAATATTATGTTAATAATTTAAAAAAAACAACAACAACAGAAATACACGATTTATTCAAATTAAATAAGGCAGCTTGTTCAACAAAGTAAATTTCATAAAACGCAATTCTAACTTTACTCAGTGCTACCACCCCCTCTTCATTCAGTGTTTGTCTTATTCAATATCGTAACTAACTTACCAAGTCGTCATTTGCTTTCTTGACACTGCTAATACTCGTCTCTTTGACCGCCTCCAAATTTCGCCAAATTGTCGCTGGGTTCAACGCTTTCTATTACAGATATATCCTCTTGCTCTAAAGCATGTACATATATGAGTTTCACCAAACCATGGAAATCCTGAGATATAAAAACTGGAAGTAGCATATAAATAAACACACAACTGTCTGACTTACATTTCAACGTAACCAAACTCTTTACTCTTTTATCCTTCCGCGTCAAAATCATGAATATTCACCAAAACCTGGCAGGATTCTCAAGACCTTTTCTGCGACTCTACACCCAAAAGTCAACAAAATCGCCATGCAAAAAGGAGGGGAGGGGGAGGGGGAGGGGAGGGGGAGGGGGAGGGGAGGGGGAGGGGGAGAAAGACGATAAATAACATTTGTACAATATTCGTTTTAACCAGCGTAGGACTTAAAGGAGCTAAATCGCTAATATTTGGGACCTAGAAATTGATACAAATGGGTCGCAACGCATATAATAATGTAATCTGATTGTATATAAACTGATTTACATTCAATTGTTTTCGTTTGGACTCTAATTTCAAATCAGTTATGTCCAGCGAAATACGGCATGAGTCTCAACCAAATAGAAATTTCTAGCGTCTGGTTCTTCCAGTCTAATGCGCATGCTCTCCAGATAAGTTATGGCTCGCCGTTTGATATGAATTGTGGAATATGTCTAGCCTCGTTCTTTCTGGTCACTTGTTATAAATTACGCTGAATCGCACTATGGTACACGATTCGTGTATCAATGGGGAAATGTTTATTTTGTCTTAAATATTTAATATCAGAAGCCTACCTTTTCAAGGTAAGATAACAACATCAATGTTGATTTGAATTGACAAATAACTCGTGTTTTCACTTCGGTTGATATTGAGTTAGAGACTTAGCTACTTTAATGGTAACCTGCGTCGAAATGAATGCATCGCTGCCATGTGACGTATGGAGAAGTTGATACAACTTGACAAAATTGTTACTGTCGTTCATTCCATTTTACAGCTTACTAAACGGTGTGTTAATTTCATTATCGCTGTCAAGGGATGGCTAGTGCTACAATGATTTTACACGTTTTTGACATTTATATGTTCACGAGAGATAAATGACTTTAAGAGAAGGCGATTAAATATAAGTAAATCGGCTTTTATAACCACGTATCTCCATGGGTGTTTTTCAGGAAATCCAGGTGTTTCAACTTTCTATATAAACCAACTTTACAATATCTTTATTGGTAATAACAACCCTATAAAAATAGTTTCGACAGAATACACACATTGCATGGATCAATAATATATCATTTAACTCTTAACTGACCCAAGTCGACTTTCGTTGACGCCTGTAACGTTACCTTTAATATAAGTACTTCGGCGAATTTTATCAACAAAATCTAGCATAATGAGATTTACTTCCCTTACAGACAGACGACTTTCACACGTTTGTTATTGGTGTGATGGTGTGTGTGTTGTTAGTGGGGGGGGGGGGCTAAAATGAAATGAAATGGAGTTTAACGTCCTACTGTTCTTCTCCGAAGTGGGCTAATGAAGACGGGCGTACGCCATACAGTGTGCTATGAGGGAAATTTTGCCCGGACAGCGGCGCTACGGCCTACTCTTATATCAAATTCCAACTGTCAAGGGATCTTTTAAGTGCACGCCAATGTCTACACGGGACCTCGGCTTTTCGTCCCATCCGAACGACTATACAGCTTTCCTTGTCAGGCCCTCCGTCCTCCATCACTGACAAGGGGGAATCACGCCAGAAAATCCGGATGAACTTTCTCGGCCAATACAGGGATCGAACACCCGACCTCAGGCTAGCGAGCCAGCGTCTTACCCACTTATAGCCATCGTGATCCCGGGGGGGGGGGGCGCTAAAGAATCGAACTTCTGGCTTGCGGTTGTGTTTTCGATGTAAGTGTATGTGGGACATGGAGATTGTGACGCCTTCTCAACGCACAATGCTTTTACTCCGGGTACTCCGGTTTCCTCCCACAAGAAAGACCCCTACGCGTGCGGTAAGATAATGAAAATGAAAATAAGACAACTCGTCTGTGATATTACCTTCGATGGAGAGAGAGAGAGAGAGAAATGGGGTTTAACATCCACTCGACACAAACTAGGTCATTTCGGGACTAACATATGGTTTAATTTTATTTCAATAATTCGCTTGCGCGTAGGGGTATTTAGCAGTGGGAGGAAACCGGAGGACCCGGAGAAAACCCACGAGGTTGGACAGGCGACCCTATTCCTTGTCACGTACAACCGGGGATTCGAAACCACGCCAGTCGACTCAATGACAGATTTTATGATACAGCGCGCGCACGCTAACCATTCAGCCATCCAACCCCCCTACCTTCGATGGAAGCAGACGTTAAGAAAAACATCAACTCGTTTGTTTACTTCCTGTTTGACAGTTGACAGTTAAATATCGTACTGCATCGTCTTTAAAAATTATAATAAAACTGTGATATTGTCTAGGCCTACACTAAACTGTTCTCCTAATCACGGATTACCATTATGACATGGATGGTTTTTATGACGTTATGACGTCAAACCCCTGGGTCACTTAAGAGTTAAGTCAAGAGAGAATTTAACGTCCACTTGACACAAACTAGGCCATTTCGGGACTAACATATGATTCAATTTTATTTCAATAAATGGCTTCCGCGTACCATGGGTATTTAGCAGTGGGAGGAAACCGGAAGACCCGCAGAAAAACCACGATGTTGGGCAGGCGACCCTACTCCTTGTCACGTACAACTGGGGAATCGAAACCACGCCCATTAACTCAATGACAAAACTTATGATGCAGCACGCACGCGTAAACCATTCGGCCATCCACCCCCACCCCACTCCATTTTAGATAAAGAGCTATTCTTTCCTGCTATACTAGTTTAAAATGAAGATACTGAAAAGTTCGGGGCGAAGGTATTCGGTTTTGAAATATAATGAAATGGGGTTTAACGTCTTCTGCCCCGACTGGGCCAATGAAGATCAATCCTTGAAGTGTGCACAATATACAATAATAAACAAAGTATCGATTATCTATTTTTAGATTAAATTATTAAATGTTGATTGCATATTAATCCATTAAAAATGGCGACCATGCGATGCTTTAGAGGATTAATTATGGGACTGTCATGTGAATAAGAGTCTAAATTAGTAATTTAGTAATAACAGTAATCTTCAGATTTACATCTTACATAATGCATCTTTTTTTTTTAGAATTATAGTTTAAACTTTAGATTTGATATGAGAAGTTAAAAACAATTCGGGCTCAAGATTCATAAAAACATTCTCAGACTTAACTCAAAATTTTAACTAAAATATAGCCCTTTATAAAACTTTTGTTATTTTAATGTATCAAATACATCAATAAGAAACTATGTGCAAATTCTGGATCAAAGACACTTCTTGAGTGAATTCTTAACTAAAGTCTTAGAATACGTTCACACATTATATCTTCAACGTCAAATTGTAATGAATGACACGAGGTGTGTGTAGCGAGAGCGTGATCATGGGCGTTCTCTCCGCTCTCGGTAAGCTGTCTCCGTTGTCGCCACGTGGATAGCAACCTGATTCAAATACAGATCTATATTTCGTTTCGTTTTTTTTGTACTTTCGATGGTCTACACTACATGAAGATCTGACAAGTTGCACTCGAAGGTCGTGTCAGGGGTCTTACGAGCGGCTTTTGACCCTATGACGCCAGACATTGATTAATCAATCAGCGTTGACGTTTCTAGTGGTTTACAAACAGTTCCGTGCATGGCACGCCAAGATGTCGCCGTAACAGACCGTTTCATTGGCTTACCACTCACTTCAATCAAAACGCGAGTAATATAACAACTCTTCCAGATCCTAGTGTTGTAAAGACAAGTAAAACGAAATTTTGAACGAAATAGGATCTGTGTTTTTATCAAATTGCGTGGATAAGGCACATGAATCATACCCGCATAGTGACGCCGTTACCTGTAGCACTCTTTACGTTTCTACCCTGACCCCAATACGCTCTTATTACGCTGACAAAATAAAGAAAGAGAGAGAGAGAGATAGAGGGGGGGGGGGGTTAACGTCCACTCGACACAGACTAGGTCATTTCGGGACTAACATATGGTTTACATTTATTGACTCAATGACAGGCCATATGATACATCGCGCACGTGCTAACCATTCGCCCCCCCCCCCCCCCAACAAAATACAGAATAAGCAATTAAAAAAACTATTTTTTACACAAATGGATACCAACACAATAAGTTCCAACGCATTAATGCAGCCTGTACTACCAATATGAAAATAAAATTTATTCAAACTCTTTTAACAGTTCGTCTCATCGTTTTAAAAAAAAAAAAAACTCTCCAGAGATCGGCATCTCGATCACAAACGATTTCGATGCTACATGATGCCACAATACCTTTATTATATAACAATATGCCACATGATGCCACAATACCTTTCCAATTTTCTTCTTGCAAACTATTCCTCTCTACATATTCTCAAAGTTTTTACCAACTTTCTAAATTGTTGAAATTTGGAGGTTGAATGACACCTCCGGAAACTGTGCAGCGATTCGCAAGAGTACGACACGACCAGCAAGAATTTGTAATATACGGATTGTATAGTATTTAATGGGTGATCAGACAGGAAATGTAATTGTTTGGGCTCTAACAATTATATAGGTATGTACATAATTGATTTCCCTCGATTTGTACTCCGTTAGGAGGTGGCGATTTTTCGTGCTTCCGTGACATGTCATAATATGGTCACTTGCGAAAACGACCGTCATGAAATATAGAGAGGCTGAAGAAACATTAGTTAAGAAAGAGTTTGCCATTCTTGCTATAATAATTCAAAAATGGATGATAAAAAAGAATATATTGAAAATTTCAGTCAAATTACTTTATTCTGAACGGAGTTATCACTGTTTGAATTTTGTACTAGAAATAGGCATCAACTGTGTCTGTACTGTCTACGAGAATCGCCGATCGTTTGATTGACAGACGACAACTCCACCCACATATTCTCGATTATCAAGTAACATTCTCAATGGCAATGATACCCTCGCTTGGCAGGTCTTTCATCACCAATCTCCGCTAGTGACGTCAGTGACTAACGGTAAACGTCAGCTTGGTCAGCCATTTATTGATTTAGTTTTAAATGGAAGACTGTATCCATGCCATCCGAGGGTCTACAGAGTTGATCTTGAGCTTGTCATGTAAATACAGGTCTAATCAATAATTTCTATAACACATGAAGCCTAAATAGGCAGATTTAGCTCTTGCATAATGTATGTTTAATTGAAACTGTGAGTTTTGACTGTTGTCTGAATAATGAGACAATAGTCGAGTGTGATAAGTAACGTCAGAAAGTTCAAATAATTCTTGTGGGTGTAACCGCGTTTGTTGGATATTTTTAGATATTTTCATCATAATCATACATTTACGCCTCGGTGAGTTTAAAGCAGGCCCACGGCTAGGGTTTACACATGCTGAGAACTATGAAAATGACGGAAAATTTCGATTTTGGCGCTGAATTTGCGATATTGGCGTATTATGATATTATGATAATTTGAAGGAAGGAATACGACTTTAGCGTACCTATAATAATGTATGAGAAATACGGAAAGTTCGGAATCGGGATAAAGTGCGACTTACTTGAATTTTGAAGATTATCACGTCTGGTGCGCAGTGCCGGACTGGGCCCACCTGTCCACCTGTCCGTGACAGGTGGGCCTAAGCTCATTTAAAAAAAGTGGGCCTAAGCCTATAAAGAAAAAAGAGAAAGAAAAAAGAAAAAAAGGAAAAAGAAAAGAGAAAGAAAGGAGAGGGTGAGGAAAGAAAAGAAAGAAGGAAGGAGAGGAGAATTCTCAAATTCATCTTATGATAGGCCTAGTGCTCTTAGGTCATTCTGTTATCTAATTGTATCTGGAAATAAAAAAAATTGCCTCCCCCAGACCCCCCTCGGATGCTCGTGCGCCTTCGGCGCGTACTTGTGTGGGCCTTGGTCAATGACCTGACAGGTGGGCCTTTGGCCAACCAATCCGGCTCTGCTGGTGCGCGCTTGAATCCATCTCATCTCCACCTTGCGTGAATTTGACCTGGAAAATTTCTTACAATCCCCATGTGGCTTTCTCAGGGTAGATTTCTTCGGGTGTCGGTATCCGGTCGGTTTCTTGTTTAGGCGCCCATGATCTAGTCGTGGGCTCTCCGGGATAAGGCACCCCACAGATCACGCCGTTTTGGGCGCTCCATGAATCAAGTTGTGTGATTCATTATGATGCGCCTCACCATTTGGGGGACGCCTCATATATAAGGACGTGATTGGCAAGGCGCCCATAAAATCCAGTGACATTGGTTGGACGTCCGCCAATCTCGTTATGGGCACGTTCGTCTTTGGCTTCGGCTTCGTATTGTGTCTATTGGAAAAGGCGCCTTCGATGCGTATTGGGGTCGCCGTTTTCCTCCAGGTTGGCTTGGATACAGCTTGGATTTAAAAGGTCGTCCATTTAAAATTAAATCAATAAATGGCTGACCAAGCTGACGTTTACCGTTAGTCACTGACGTCATTACCGAAGACTGGTGATGAAAGGCCTGTCAAGCGAGGGTACCATTGAGAAGGTTACTTGATAATCGAGAATATGTGGGTGGAGTTGTCGTTTGTCAGTCAAACGATCGGCGATTCTCGTAGGCGGTACAGACAGTTGATGCCTCTAGTCCAAACTTCTAGCAGTGCAAACTCCGTTCAAAATAAAGTAATTTGACTAAAATTTTCAATATTTTCTTTTTTTAACATCTATTTTTTAATTATTATAATAAAACTTTTAGTACATGCTCTTAAAGGGACAATAACACTCTAGCCATATTCTAAGTATTAGATGTTTAAGTGTCCTACCTGTTGTGTTAATTATCCATTACATACTATTTTACTTGTCCAGAGGGTTCAAAAATATTTTTAAATCCAAGTCACATTTGAAAAGGTTTACGATAATCTTTTCAAATCATTTAGTTAATTTTTCCAATTTAGGTGTGTTAAGATGAAATTTGTATCATCAATTAATAGGAATACTGTAAAATAGTACAATTTGTTGACCAGAATAAAGATTGGGACATATTATTCAGTTACAACAAGAGTGGTATTGAGCCTTTAAGTGTTCCGAGAGCAGGTTGGGGGAATATCATCCTAATTAATGCAATAGTTAAACTGATATTTAAGGGAGATTTTTTGGTTTTACTTTAATAGCTTGATTAAAGACAAACCTTGTGGATTTTCTCCGGGTCCTCCGGTTTCCTCCAATTGCTAAAGAACCCTACTCGCAGTCAAATTATTTAAGTCAAGATAGTCCCGAAATGACCTAGTTTGTGTCGAGTGGACCCCTCTCTCTCCCTCTCTTTCTCTCTCTCTATTAATGAACACTATGCTTTCTATAGAAGGGATTTAGGTGACATTTTAATTAGGTCTCTTTACATCGTAATTTGATGTATTTTTTTATCATTCTGTTTGAAAGTTTTAAAATGAATTACCACGCACTTGCTGTTTGACTTGATAGAAAATTACATTCCTTCACGTTTAAGGTGTGCTGTTGCTATCGCTCTGTGCATCAGGGCGCGCATAAATCTCAATCTAGTTGCGTTCTTTGTTGCTCTCCTCGGTCCGTCGTTATCGCCTTCATCAACTGCGTATTTTTAAATCCACAAAACAAACGTCAGCAAGTGACAAACTGACGATGGGTATTTTTGTTCTTGCTTCCCATTAATCTTCCTTAAGGGCAAGGTAAAATGACACCAGAAAATATGGAAAAATTATTGCAAAACCAGAAAAATGGCCCTTGGATATAAATGCCTAAAATACAATACATTACTCACAGATCATTTTGTTACTACCGCTGGCCCTTTACAGACCCGTAGCTAGAAAAACCAAAAAACCTCCCTTAAATATCAGTTTAAAGTAGCTAGGTCTCTAACTCAATATCATCCAAAATCTTCGACATTGAAAACACGATTTATTTGTCGGTTTAAATCAACATTGGTGTTGTGATCTTACCGGGAAAAGATGGCCTTCTGATATCCAATATTTAAAGACAAAATAAACATTTTACAATTGGTACACGAATCGTGTACCATAATGCGGTTCAGCGCTATTTGTAATAAGGGACTCGAAAAACGAGGCTAGGCATATTCCACAAGTCATGTCAAATGGTGACATCATATTCTTATCTGGAAAGCATACCCAATAAATACTATCGGCGTAGACATGAATAACCCGACGCTAGAGATTGAAATTCGATTGAGAATACTTGCGTATTTCGCCGAACCTAACTGATTAGAAATTACAGTAAAAACAGAAACGATTGAATGTAAATCAATTTATATACATTCATATTACATTATTGTATGCGTTGCGGCCCATTTGTGTCAATTTCTAGGTCCCAAATATTTAGCCCCTTTAACTATTGCATTAATTAGGATGATATTCCCGCAACCTGCCCTCGGGACACTTAAGAGCATGTATTAATAGTTTAATAAAGATGATTCACTCGTTTACCTAAATACAGAATTACAAAAACTATTATTATTCATTAATCATCATCAACGACGACACAACAATAAACTTTTCTTGTCGTAACCGGTGAACCCCATCCTAGTGTACCGGATTGGACGAGTCGGTTAACTGAAGTATATAAGGCGTAAATTTCTAGCTGAACATCAATCAAGCGAGTTGTTTCACAACGAATAAGGTTTGTGAATTGGATAGCTGAATCACAAGAAACACAAATGTTCTGGCCTTTTTGGTTTCTTGTTCTAGGTTAGTAAACTACTTTACCACTTTTATTATATCTAATACAATGGATAAATATGGTTTAATGACACGTCAGCATCAACGGGAATATATTGCTCCAAATAAATCACATATATTTCATTAAAAGATAAACGCAAATATTGCTTATAATTAAAACATTGTAATCTCAATACATATTCTTGAGCTTGTTTTTCCAACACTTGATTTGGTATGATATATCGTTAAAATATTTATTTTTTAAAAGTTGTTTCCATGAAATGATCCGCCAAAGGATCCCTCTGACTTCAATTGTGTAACAGAATGTAATTATATATAATTACATTTGAAATTTGTCTGTTTTACCATTCATATACAAATTTTAAGAAAATAATGTTTAGTAAACTACGATAACCATTGCTCAGTGTGTATTGGCTCACTCACATGGAAGTCTCGTGAATCGAAACCACGCCAGTTGATTCAATGACAGACCTTATGCTACAACGCGCACGCACTAACCATTCGTCCATCCCCTCACCATTTTGGTAGTTAGAATTCTATATAAGAGTACGCAGTAGCTCCACTGTCGTGACCAAATTTTTCTCATAGCACGCTCTATGGCGTATGCCCGTCTTCATTAGCCCAGTCGGAGCGTAACAATAGGACGTTAAACCCCATTTCATTTATGGTATTACTCATGTAAAAAGTGGAAAACAATTCTTCACACGCCTATTTAGGAATCTAACTTGATATTTTTGTCATTTATTTTAGGTTGCTTTGTAATTTGACCTGTAATGTAATTTCTATGTCGAGGTGTTCGTGAACCTGACTTGCCTCAGGCTCCTCGAGTTCTAAAATCATTAGATATAGTTTAAACGATTGTCACCATTGACGTAAATAACTGTGCAGTAACACGTGAACCCCTCGTTAAGATTTCACTGCAGTTAATTTATATTTAAATTATTTACATTCTGAATTCAACCAATTATTGAGAGGGAGAGAGAGAGAGAGAGAGAGATTGATATTAAAGTTAACATTGGTTTTACTTGAAACATCAACATTGCTTGTGTTAGTCGCACATACGTGCATTTTCCTTATTTCGAGGTCAATCCTGACCAAATCTGCACACCCTTTATATAGCCCCACCTATAGTCATACAATAATGTAACTTTTGTACTAAACCAGTATGTTTTCTCGGTTGATTCTTATGGCGGTGGTGATACTGACCAAAGCGGGTCAAATCAGCACAATTTTAAAGTTGCAATTTCATATTTTTAAGTTATATTTTTAAAAATTATTAAAATAAAGCCTTAAAATAGAGAGAGAGAGAAATGGGGTTTAACGTCCACTCGACACAAACTAGGTCATTTCGGGACTAACACATGGTTAGATTATATTTCAATAATTCGCTTGCGTGTAGGGGTCTTTAGCAGTGGGAGGAAACCGGAGGACCTGGAGAAAACCCAAGAGGTTGGACAGGCGACCCTATTCCTTGCCACGTAAAACCGGGGATTCGAAACCACGCCAGTAGACTCAATGACAGACTTTATGATACAGTACGCACGTGCTAACCATTCAACTATCCAAACCCCCGCCTTAAAATAGATTGTATCTATAAACAGTCCTATCTTGTTAAAGAATAATCCTATTAATCCTATAATTCACTATTGCCAGTTGAGAAATTGGCAAAAATATAATTTTCATCTTCAAATTCAAACGTTTGAAGATAACTACTCCATGCTGGAGAATAGAAAACAATGGAGGTAATTGGGAGGTAATTGTGTTATTATTTCCGGTGTTATGATTTTAAAGTGTGAGAATGACACCTATGATTGTATAATAGTGAGTTGACAACCTATTGAGCAAAAGACATAGAAATAATTATGTTTTGACTTTTTTAGAAAATATGAAATTGTAACTTTAATATGTTGGTGAGGAAGTTACTGACCGAAGTTACGATCTCTGAGTCTGACCGACTACAACTTGATGATATATGGATAACGGGCCAGTTTGTTCTTTAGACGGCGGATGACCGAAACGGGTAAAAACAGCACGATGTTTGACCAAGTTTGACCAAGGGATAAAAGCACCACGATCTCTGAGTGTGACCGCAAAACGCTTTCATATTTGGACGACAGAGTTACTGGTCGAAACGGGTCAAAACAGCAGAATGTCTGACCTAGTAAATGTTGGTAATACATTTGTGACTACTTGGCTTATTCTTCGGACAGCGGAGTTACTGACCAAAACGGATGAAACAGAGAGAGAGAGGAATGGGGTTTAACGTTTACTCGACACAAACTAAGTTATTTTTGGACTAACACATGATTCAGTTTTATTTCAATAATTCGCTTGCGCGTAGGGTTCTTTATCAGTGGGAGGAACCGGAGAAAAGGCGACCCTACTCCTTGTCACATACAACTGGGGAATCGAAACCCCGCCAGTTGTCTCAATGACAGATCTTATGATACAGCGCATACGTACTATCCATTCGGCCATCCAACGCCCCGGATCAAACAGCTCGATGTTTTTAATGAAACGACACATACAGCCCGACTTGTGCGCCTTCCTGCGAATTCTACTTTCTTTTAAGGGAATAAAATAAAACAATGGTGTTATATTAACATCTTATAAGACCTATAAGTATTTTATCATTATACCCCTTGCTGTTTTATGTTGTCACGATTCAACACACCTGTGAACCCGACATAAAACTGTTAAAAACATCCTTATATCCATCATACAACCCGGATATACGTCACTTTATAAACATTAAATTATATAAATCTCAGCATTACGTTACTTTTATAGTGTAACGCCTCTTGTGATTCACATTGGTCCAGTGGACGGAAGTTCTGGTTAAGATCCAGTTGTTGACCGAGAACTTTCCCACAGATTTACCTTGTAATGCAGGAAGGAGGACCTAGAATAGCGTCTTGTCAGGGGCTGTCAAGGAGACGGCCTTAACTTTGGGGCTCCAGGGAAAAAATGATCGGAGATGGAAGCTGCAGCATTTCATTTTCTCATTAAATTAAATTCATGAAATGTCCCTTCAATATGTAGATCTGACATCCCCCCACCCCCTCCTGAAAATCCAGAATCCGCCCAGACTGTTAACTAATTGTATATTTTTATTTTGGGGATCACGTGGCTAAGTGGGTAAGACGCTAGCTCGCTAGCCTGGAGGTCGGGTGTTCGATCCCTGCATTGGCCGAGAAAGTTCATCCAGATTTTCCGGCGTGGTTCTCCCTTGTCAGTGATGCAGGACTGAGGGGCTGACAAGGAAAGCTGTCTAGTCGTTCGGATGGGACGAAAAACCGAGGTCCCGTGTACACATTGGCGTGCACGTAAAAGATCCCTTGGCAGTTGGAATTCGATATAAGAGTAGGCCGTAGTGCCGCTGTCCGGGCAAAATTTCCCTCATAGCACACTGTATGGCGTATGCCCGTCTTCATTAGCCCAGGTTAGGAGCAGAACAGTAGGACGTTAAACCCCATTTCATTTCATTTCATTTCATTTATATTTTTATTTTCAGGGTTGACCCGTGTACAAAAGATAACTGGATTACAGTGGGAAGGAGTAGTTAAAGGAGCCATACCATCTACAGCCGTCCCAATCAGGCCTAATGGCGCTTCCCTCTTTTACTTCTGCGAGGTGGTAGTGTCCTCGAAGGGGGTAGGCATCAATTTATTTAGTTTATTTTACGGACTCTCATTTTATTCAGGTAGATTAGGTCGATATTTTCACAGAAAACCTGAACATTGGCATGTAGGTAGTTTTTGATGCCCTCTATCGAATAAGAGCGCGACAGAAGCCATCTGACCTTATTGTACGCGCCATTTTGGATTCAAAATGGCCGCCTCTGATTGCTTTAGGAGTTTACCTATTTCAGTTTCACGGGATAATAGATCCGATTGTTTTTTTTTTACCTAAGCGACCTGATTATTAAACGTCTGACATTTAATATGTTTTGTTTTATCAAATTGTTGAGACACAGACCCGTAGCTAGCGTGGGGGGGGGGTGCACCGCCAACGTGCCCATATCAGTATGGGCGCCCCATAAAGCCGATTGACATTTGTTTGGCAGTCCCCCCCCCCTCCCGCTAGCCACGGGCCTGAGACAACATCAGATTGTTGAATATTATTCGGAAATTGATTTACAGACTAGTAAGAATTAATAAATATTTCGACTAGTTGAAGGAATCTAGTGTAGCGAACATTGACTCCCACCTAAGTTGGACAAACGTTTCTCACCTTCAGTGGGTTTCAGACGAGTTATTTCCCCTGGTTTAGAAAATCGGTATCAGGCCAGTTATTTCCCCTGTTTTAGAAAATCGGGTTTAGACCAGTTATTTGGATATCCCGTATACATGTAGATAGAAATTCAGACATTTTACTTATTCACAGATTAATGATATTTTTGAAAGAGATTTTCCACGCAACAGGCGACTGTGGTTAAGCCGTAAATGAAATGAAATGAAATGGGTTTAACGTCCTACTGTTCTGCTCCGAAATGGGCTAATGAAGACGGGCATACGCCATACAGTGTGCTATGAGGGAAATTTTGCCCGGACAGTGGCACTACGGGATCTTTTACGTGCACGCCAATGTGTACACGGGACCTCGGTTTTTCGTCCCATCCGAACGACTAGACAGCTGTCCTTGCCAGGCCCTCCGTCCTGCATCACTGACAAGGGAGAATCACACCGGAAAATCTGGATGAACTTTCTCGGCCAATGCAGGGATCGAACACCCGACCTCCAGGCTAGCGAGCGCCTTACCCACTTAGTCACGGTGGTCCCCTGTGGTTAAGCCATGTGTCGTGTTGTGAGAATTTAGAGAACAGGTGATCGATCTAATAAAGGTGTTAGAAAACAAAACAATAACATAATAATACAAAACGTGTTTGAATACGTCTCATAATAGTTATTTCATATATTATTTCAGGGACAAAGAATACCTGGTACACTGAGACCAACAGACAATTCCTGTAAATACGAAGTAGACGATGCTGTTAAGAGCTCAACAGAGTTCAATGTTCTCGTTAACCCTAGTGGAGCCTCTTTAAAGTGGGAATACGGTAATCCGAGGAAGGGTGTCCCCGCTGGTGCTGTGAAATGTCATGAAGGCGATAACTGTTACTTAGGACAAAGTATTTACGGTGATGGAATATGTGCGGAACTTCCCGGGAAAATATTTACTGATCAGATTCAAATGATTATGACTAACGATGAAAAGATTTTTAAATGCCCTTTTAAAATGTTCTTAGTGGAAACTGTATGAAATTAAACTGATTTCATTTGGTATAAAACATTTGGTATAAAACATTTGGTATAAAACATTGTGTTCTGCACGACGAAGTAAAACATAATTGTGTAATGAATATTATAAAATATGTTTAATCATTTAGTTGGCATTGAGTTTACACATATATCCTTACACCCATACCAACATCATTACATTCACCACCTTCACCATCACCACCACATTCACCGCCATCACCACCACTATCACCACACTCACCACCATCATTATACCCATACACTCATCACGCCCATACCACCATCACCACCTTCACCTTCATTACCACCATCTTCACCACAATCACCGCCACCATTACCACCATGTTCACCATCATTACCACCATCATCACCACCATTAACACCACCTTCACCACCACCATTAACACCACCATTACGACCATCTTCACCACCATTATCACCACCCTTACCACCATCATCACCATCATTACCACCATCTTCACCACCATTACCACACCATTATCACTACCTTCACTGCCATTAACACCACCGTTATCACCACCACCACCACCACTATTAACACCATCTTCACTACCATTATCACCACCTTCACCACCACCATTAACACCATCTTCACCACCATTACCACACCATTATCACTACCTTCAACGCCATTAACACCACGGTTATCACCACCACCACCACCATCACCATTAACACCACCTTCACCACCACCATTATCACCATCTTCACCACCATTACCATCGCCACCACCACCACCATCATTACACCCATACATTAATCAAACCCATACCACAATCACCACCTTCACCACAAGCACTGTCACCCAACAGAACTGGCAATAGAATAAGAATGAAATGAAATGATGTTTAACGTCCTAATGAAGACGGGCATAAGGGAAATTTTGCTTGAACAGTGGCACTACGACTCACTCTTGTATCGAATTCCATTTGCCAAGGAATATTTTACGTGTACACCAATATGTACACGGAGCCTCTGCCTTTGTCCCATGGGGGTTGGGTGGCTGAATGGTTAGCGTGTGCACGCTGTATCATAAAGTATGTCATTGAGTCAACTGGCGTGGTTTCGATTCCCCGGTTGTACGTGACAAGGAGCAGGGTCGCCTGTCCAACCTCCTGGGTTTTCTCCGGGTCCTAAAGACTCCTACGCGCAAGCGAATTATTGAAATAAAATTAAACCATATGCTAGTCCCGAAATGACCTAGTTTGTGTCGATTAGACGTTAAACCCCATCTCTCTCTCTTTTCCCTCTCTCTCTCTCTCTCTCTCTCTCTCTTACTCGCCGTCTTACTCACTGAGTAGCCTTGGGTCCATCAATACAAATACTCCATGACACCAAACACAAATGTAAATAGAATAGAAGAGAGTGTGGTTAAGTGCAAGAACTGTAAAGATTGCGTAGGCAGGCAACGAATATACGGCCTCAAGACGAAGCGTGGCCTTTAACTGCATATAAAAATTATGAGCCTAAGAGTTCCAGCATGTTCTAAAAAAACACTCAATTTATTTGATAGAGGTTTGAGTGCCACCCCACCCACTTTGAAGTATTTTGAGTTTGCATCTAGTCACTTCGACCCATCAGGTTATCGTGTTCTTACTGGGCAAATGAAGACGGGCATACGCCATAAAGTGTGCGATGAGGGAAATTTTGCCCGGGCAGCGGCGGTACGGCCTACTCTTATATCGAATTCCAACTGCCAAGGAATCTTTTACGTGCACGCCAACGTGTACACGGGACCTCGTTTTTCGTCCCATCCGCACGACTAGATAGCTGTCCTTGTCAGACCCTCCGTCCTGCATCACTGACAAGGGGAAACCACGCCGGAAAATCTGGATGAACTTTCTCGGCCAATGCAGGGACCTCCAGGCTAGCGAGCCAGCGTCTTACCCACTTAGCCACCGTGATCCCTTGTCTGATTGAAGAAATGAAATGAAATGGTGTTTAACGTCTTACTTTTATGCCCCAACCGGGCTAATGAAGACCGGCATACGCCAAACAGTGTGCTATGTCGCGGGCCCTGATTTTGCATGAGTTACTTTTCACGTCATTTTGTCTGTAAAGTGGTCGATTACTTTTGGATTTTCATAAAAGTGGCACCATTGGTATTCGCGATGATTGAGGAATCTGATAAGCTCCCAATGTGAATACCCAATTGAAATTAGTGTCGAAATATGCAGGGTATTACGTGAAGGCCTTGATAAAATGTACGTAGTTAAAGCGAGATTAAGCCTTCTATTGATGATGATAAATGGATGGCGTTCCACAATATATAGAGAGATAAGGGGTTTAAAGTAGTACCCGGAAAAAACCCACGAGGTTGGACAGGCGACCCTACTCATTGTCATGTACAACCTGGGAATCGAAATCACGCCAGTTGACGCAATGACAGGCCTTATGATACAGCGTGCACGTGCTAACCATTCGGCCATGCGGCCATCTACCCCCCCCCCCCCCGACTAAATAAGCGCTGACTGTTCTCGCTAAAATAGGTAAAACATAGATAATGAAAACAAAATATGCAGAAAATTTCAGTCAAATTGCTTCACTTTGACCCAATATATTAGCGATGCAATTTCAAGCTAGCCTTGAACGTCATTACTCACGTTGGTAAAACAATAAACAAAGTCTCGATTATCCAGTTTTACGTTCAATCATCCATCACGAAATGTATTCAAATCCACTAAATATCGCAGGATAGCGATGCCATCAAGAGTTGATTATGGTCTGGATAAGTTAATTAATGTCTAATTAATAATTTAGAAAACATTTCAGACCTATAAAGAAAGACCCGCAATAGGCAGATTTAGCTCTTCCATGGTGCATGTTTAAGTAATTAGAGAAGCAATATTAATCAATTTCTGAAACCTGTCTATTACTTGAGATATGTTATAGGGAAATATTTAAAACAGTTCTGTTAATCAAGATTTATTGCAATTATGCATTCCGGAGTAAATTGAATTTAAAATAGATTAGACATCCTACACCCTTCACTGAGTGTAAGACATGATAGGTGTGAAAGTTGAACGATCGTTCGATTGGAATGTTTAGCATATGTAATGGTATGTTTTAGCTTGAATCATTTTTCAACTCTGCACCAAAAATCGCACAATCTGTTTGCCCAACCGGGTTTATATGGACCACTGCTAGATTTTTTTTAAATGAGATAGACTTTTATCATAAATTTTAATTGTGAATAATTTACTGATCTGTGATACTTTGTTTTTAAATTTTTGAAATAAATATCGTGTAATTTCATTGATCCCTGTTGGTACTGACGTGCCATTAAACAAGATTTAATAGTCTGTGATATTTGGCGTTACATTGATTTGGGCGCAGGTAGTTCCGGATCAGACGTATGGGGAAGTTGATACAGCCTAATAAACGGTGTGTTAATTTCATTATTGCTGTCAAGGGTTAACAGGTGCTACAATGACTTTACTTATATATACACGTATTTGACATTTATTTGTTGACGAAAGATAAATGATTTCTAGAGAAGGCGTTTAAAAGTAAGTAAATAGGTTTTTGTTACCCAAACATCTCTAAAAGGTATTTAAAATTAGTAATTTGTAATCATTATTATAGCGAAGTACTTGTAAATTTCACTATTTTTGATTATCCTTGCACATCTTTTATCTTAAAATTGAATTGTTTTTATTTATAGGACATGGGTTAAATAGGCCCGTTTTCCAGTCATATTCATTTATGGATTTATCGATAAAATATTCTTCATAGAATAAAATAATTCTCACAAAACACCGTTTCATCAATCATTTGTCTTGCCTTCTCCACGAAAAACGAAAACAATACTTTAAAAATAAAAACCCTTTTACAGTGCAGTTTAATTTTTTTTATTCTTTTATATATTTTTGTTTTCTTTAGCTACGATATCATTTCAGGTGGAAGCGGGCGATACGCCCGACAAGAAGAAGAAACATTTGATGTGATTGTTCGGTGATCTACAAGACAGAAACATATTGGTTTATAAATTGAAAAGATATCGATCGAGGTCTGAATAATACTTACGGTCCCTAACTTTTTTTTAAATTCAAAGCGTGGAAATACGCTATTATATTGAAAATGAAAAGCATCCAATGGTCTGGAGGGTTAATTATGGTCTTTTCACATGTAAATAAATGTCTAATTATTCATTTATGTAACGTTTAAGGCCTAATGATTTAGCACTTGTATCTTCAGCTTATTTGAAAAGACTCATAATATAACTCCAGAACAGAAAGATTACTAAAAATTGAACGTATTCATCTTTCCCAATTGCGTCTAACCCAATTTCAACACATATGTTAAAATGTTAAAAACTGTTGTCTACATCACGCTTACCGCGTTTCCATAAAGGAGCGGGGGGGGGAGGTCGCCGAATGCTAAATATGGATAGGTTTTGCCCACTCATGACCCTAAATCTTCACACTTACTGTGCAAAAAAAATAGATGACACTGTACCCTGTATCGCGCTGGGAAGGTGGTGGAGGTGTCGGGATTCGAAAATCCGGAACGTAACGTTTAGTCTGGATTCTCAGTTCGGGGGGGGGGGGGGTCCATCAAATGGCACAAAACCAGACCCAGTTTTTTGCGTAGAATACGACGCCGAATGGTAATCAGTCCGCCGTTGGTGCGTTTTCGAGGTATTCGGGATCAAAGGTCAAATGAGGTCATTTGCACTAAAAGTAAATGCGCAGCCATTCTTGTTTCATGAAAACATGCTGAAAATGATCGAAAATAACCACTCTTGCAATAAAAATGTAAACTTGCTAAATTCACCTTTGTTCTTGGAAATCCCAGAGATTAAAAGATCAATTTTTTCCGTTTTTGCACTAGGAGGATTTAAAGCAATAAAATGTCAACGTAAAATATAAAAACAAAGCGAAACCTGTTCTAATTAATAATAGGAACATTTAAAACCTATTTTAAGGTGCTTTTAGCACCGTACGTTTACTTTGGGACGTCGTAAAAGATCTTGCATAATAGAACCAAAACACTTCGAAACCTGTTTCAAAAAAACGTAAGAACTGTGAAATCAAAATCTCCCCGATTTAGTTTAACAACGATTGTTATACATAACAAAAACAATCGAAAAGTTTCATGGTTGGACTCCAGCCTAGTTGCGATGCGCTGAAAATCGACAGGGCCCGTTCGCTCATGGCCCCCAAGCTTCAAACCGTATCTGTTAAACAAAACTGTAGCCTATAGCGTTAACAAGAATTTTGAAAAAGGACGTTGGGGTGGGGTGGGGTGGGGTGGGGGGGTAACTCAGGAACGACGGCTTTTGTCTCCAGTACTTTACACCACATCTGAACAAAATCCATTAAAAACTACGCGTATATAAATGGATGTGTTCGGCTTTGCTGAAGACTAAATAGCATTGGACATTCCGTCTCTCAACAATATTACTGGAGACGTTATGGGAGCCACGGTGGCTAAGTGGGTTAGACGCTGGCTCGCTAGGAGGTCGGGTGTTCGATCCCTGCATTGGCCGAGAAAGTTCATCCAGATTTTTCGGCGTAGTTCCCCCTTGTCAGTGGTGCAGAACGGAGGGCCTGACAAGGACAGCTGTCTAGTCTAGTCTTTCGGATGAGACGAAAAAACCGAGGTCCCGTGTATACGTTGGAATGCACGTTAAAGATCCCTTGGCAGTTGGAATTCGATATAAGAATAGGCGATAGTGCCGCTGCCTGGGCAAAATTTCCCTCATAGCACACTGTATGGTATATGCCCGTCTTCATTAGCCCAATATAGGAGCAG